TAATCTAAAGGGAAAAATCTTATGTTTGGAGGAAACTGTAAATATATAGTTATATCCCTTACATGCCCATGAGTGTAAGATTTAAGTTCCAAACCTTTCAGTCACAGACACCTGATCTCGTGTGTCACCCCGATCTAAGTTCTCACACTCTTCTTGAAGTTCAGGAGAAGGATAACTGTTCATTTCTTCTGTGGAGAAAGCAAACATACCACGAATGAGTTTTAAATTCCTCCAGAACTCAACACGTTTAACAAAAAGCAGAAAAAGATTTATTTTCTTTTTCACTGAGTTTGTGTCTTTTACTATCTAGAAAGATGTCCAGAAAAATGAAAACAACAGATCATCTAGAGGAGATCAACTCTTGAAAAAAATGCCTTAGACTTTTGTCTTCCTCTGTAATACACTACAGCAAATTTGTTTTACCTGAACACATTTCTGATGGGAATTTCAACTCAGTGACTTCCTTCCTGACATCCTCTTGAATAAATTTCAAAGCACCTAAAAACTGTTAATCTACAATAATGGGTCTTAAAAACTTCAGAAGTTCTTTCTCTGACCTACAGAGGCAGAAAAACTTCAGAGGTTAAGGCTAGATCTGCTGTTGTTTAAATTTCTATCTTCCCAAAAGCCAAAATAAGCATTAACAGCTCAGTAAATCTGGGCCTCCCAAGGGTCGGAAAAGAAATGTAGGTGCCAGTGGCCAGAGAAGAAATGTAGGCCTAAATCAGGAGAACAACTGTTTTTTGTGTCTGAAAAATAGTCTTTCCTTCATAAAAGTGAAGTCAGCGTAGCCATATATTGAATACAAACTTAATGAGAAAAAAGCTTCAAGATTTTGGTCTAAAGCAACATGTTTTGTATTTACTGGCAATTCCATTAGTGTCCAACATCTGCTACAAACTATAGATGAAATACCAAGTAGTTATATTATGTCTAGAAACTGAGAAGTAGTACATATACTGACTGCCTTTTCCTACAGAGTATTTCTCATTCTTTCCATAACTTAAGTGAATGGCATTGCATGCTACTTACGTTGTAGCAGGTTTAGAAATGTCCGGGCAAATCTCTGAGCATACACCATCTCAGACATTGAAATCCTACCCAGTGTCAATAAGTGCTGATCTGTGGGGAAGCTTGATATTTCTATCAGCTCACTGTCACTCAGGTCATTGCCAAGTGCAAGAGTGAATACAGTAAATCCTTGGCACTTGACTCCAAGTGAAATCTCTCTTAGCTTCTCTCTGTCTTGTACGCTTGTTTTGCTTCCAACTATTGCAAATATGACCCTGTGCTTTCTTTGTCTGGGAGCTTTAAAAAATACATTTTCAACTGTCCACTGCAATGCAGAAGCAATGGCTGATGGCCCTTCCAGATGGCGAACAGACTCTTGGATATGTTTCTTCATCAAATCTTTATTGTTGTATGTTTCTAGATCAAATTCCAAGGCCACAGGAGTTTTGTTTCTGTCAGGTAGGAAGCCCCTGGGAGCCTGCTGTACCAATGCCACTCTGGTGCCTCCAAAAGATTCACTTGGCTGTTCAGCAATGACAAACTGGTCTAGCATGTTGCTCACAAAATCCTTGGCTCTCTGAAAATCTTCACCACTGATGCTGCGAGAGCTGTCCAAGATGTAAGTAATATCCATATCCATCAGAAGAGGTGGAGAAACGGGCACTTCACAGATGGTACTGGGCTGGCACTTATCTAGAGACAAAGAGCCAATAAACAGAAAACTATTTAGCAAAACAACAAAACAATGGTTTGGGGAAAAAAAAAAATGAGAGTCCTACTCATTTATTTTTTCTTAAATGTGATTTAAAACTTTCAATTTAGTGACAAGAGATCTTATTATTTCTTACAAGCAACAAGGGATGAATCCTGGTGAACAAGGTTTTGGGATTCTATGGGAAATTTGGGTATGAGATCAAAAACTGTTGTGTTATGTTTTACCTTACGAACAGAATTCCCTTTAGAATTTTTCTTCTATCAAAATCTAAACACAGCAAAGGACACTGAAGCAAGCACTGTTGTTTTTTTTTCCCCTCAGACCGCTATTAAGCATTCTGAAACACTTATCATTTAGCAGTTTTTCTCTACCTCAAAATACAAAATTCATAATAAATGAGCATGATATCCCAGAAACATGGTATTAGAGTTAGCTTCTGTTACAAAATAAATGCCAAATAGAAAAAGTTGTTTCACACAGCTGAGACAGGAATTAAATAGCTTTTGTGTTTTTAAAACTCTAATTCTTACTATCCATTTTGCCTAATACAATTATTTTATTGAAAAATGTAAGATTGGTGCTGAAAGAATAAGAGGAGTAATACAACAGCTGAAATAAGTAAAATGCCTCACCAAAGCAAAGTGTACAATGTATGATGCTCTCCAAATTTTCATCCTGTTGCCTTTCCCAAACAAATAATCGAAATCTTCCAGTATCATCAATCTAGGTTTTAAAGCAAACAGAAGAGCAACGTTAAAGCAAAATGTAGATCATGTTTATTCTTCGTTCTTAATACCATTACTACTCATCTACTGAAACTAGGTGTTGTCCCTAACTTCGTGATTTAATTTCTATTGTAATACTGAACAAGTATAGGGAAGACTTTTTTAGTTGCCATCAGGAGCATCCTATCTGCCCTTGTGCATTACAAGATCACTATTTTTTTCTAACTCTACACTATACAGACATTGTTAAGCTAGCACAACTAATAACAATTGGTGTTAGCAGCTTACTAGTCAATTTAAGACAGTCATAATATATTGTTCAAAGCTATAATAGATCATCCAAACCTAGCCCAAGTATTTCTGAATGATGCTGATTCTTGAGACCTCTGTGCATGCTTATTTTATCTTTCAGCTCTTTGTAGAATCTAGATCAGAGAAACAGCATGGGTAACCAAGTGAAATTAACACAATACTATTGAAATTTTATGATTTGCCCTAAAACAACGGTTCAGAAATAATTTCTGTGCAATAAGAGCTCAAACGGTGACCATTATAGTGAAGAGAATCAGTGTTTCTTTGTTAAAATAGCAACCTTTAACACAACACTTTTTAATAGGAGATTGGACATCCCCTATACAGCTATCTTGCTATCAGGAGATCGTTCTTTACTCAAATAATAGTAGCTACTGAGCAAATGGACAACTGATTCAAGTCTTCATAGTCTACTTACTGAGAAGGCACGTCTGACATTTGGCAATTCAGTGAAGGCAATAACCACTGGAGTGATATCCCAGGCACTCAACTCAAGTACAGCTGTGCTGATGACCACATCCTCCTGAGATGGACCATTGGCAAAAAATACGGCAACTTTTCTTGTGAGGATGCCCTGACGAACCCGTTTGAAGACATTTCTTGCAACAAATCTCATTGCTGCCCCAATACTACGTTTTCCAGTAGATCTTTCCAGTGGTATTCTCTGAACTGCCTGTAGAAGCAAGTTGTGTTTTTGGAATTCTGAGAAACGAATGAGATAGCGTGTGTTGGTATTGAAAGAAACGATGGAAACACGAGCGCCTGTTGGGCAATTGCTTTCACTGATCTTAATGGCCTTCAGCAATGACATAACAATGTTTCTCATTCGTTCAAATGCAGCTGGAGTAACACCTTCAGACATATCAAGGGCAAACACCACCTCCGTCGGATAAACTGGACACGTGTCTGCATTTTGAAACAAAACATCTCTGTGAGAACATTTCAGCAATTTAAACACTTCTTTTTCTTCAAGCCTATGAGGAACGGGCATGCAGACACCTGATGGGCTTACCTGATGAACAAGCTGCAATGAAGAAATGGAAAGGAAACAGATTATTTTGGATTCATATTGGTAAAAATTAGAGACATGTACACTCATGTGCATTAAGGAGCCTGACTCAAAGTTCATACAAGCATCAGAAATGGTCACAAGAAACAACACTCATTTTCTACAGCAGAATAATCTGAACAGTGAAATTTGGATGAGATTTAAAGAAATAACTCTAGATTCTGCTGAGCAGAGAAAGCTGAGAAATAACAAACACTCCAAAGCTAGAGAATAAGTGATATATAAATATTCTTTGAGAATTCCCTAAAGGGGGATTGACACAATGCCAAATAATTAAATTAATTTTAAATGAGAACAAGAGAAGTGTGCTACAGTTTTTGTAAGTAATGGATAGGAAATATGAGCAGAAAGACTAAGCCTGTTTTGCACACCTGCTGAAAAACTTTCACAGTTACAGTCTACAGTCAACATCAACCTGAACCTTGATGTAAACTATCAGTCAATGGGGTTTCCAATGGAGGATTATTCTTTGAAGGATTCCAGGCTGGATGTGGCTCTGGGCAGCCTGGTCTAATGGTTGGCCATCCTGCCTGTGGCAGAGGGGTTGAATTAAGATGATCATTCTGGTCCTTTTCAATCCAGGCCATTCTATGATTCAATGAGGGATGACTATGTGGATTCTAAGGTAAAAGATGATGCTCCCTACTTACGGCAGTTTTTTCGTGTAAAATTTACAAGTTCACAAGGCTGCAGAAGAAAAAATTAAAAAGCAATTAACAGTAAATCACAGACCACCTCAGACTGTGAATCCTTCTATTGGTTTGAGTTGAACATCTAAGCTACTGAACATTCACAAATTCCAGTTCATCTCTGTTTCAACTTGACAGTGGTTCTGCCCCTTATGCAGAAGCTGAGTTATTTCAGACAAGCTCTATTGGCATTTTGCCATGCCCTGGAATAGAAATCAACTATTTAGCCATTCTTTACTCTTTTTTCTTTTTTTTTTTGGCAATAATCTTACCTAGGATGTCACTGTGCAATGCCACTTCCAGAGGAGAATGGGAATTTCAGAATCAATTCACATAGCAAGAGGGAGCTCTGCAAAGTAAGACTAGATCCCTTCTACAGAATATAGAACATATCTACAGTATCACCCTCAGGTATTGCCTGCGGGTACAATCTATGCAAGATCTAGATGAAGCCTTTATTTAAGAATGTTATCTATGTATTATATAATTATATCCTATAGGGTTGAGATTCTGAAGAAATCCTGCCCTAATATTCACAATGAAAATAGCTACTGCTAAGTAAGTGTCTTCCTTTGCAAGGAGGTCAGACATAACCCTGAAGAGTATCTGATGTTTAAATTGATGTGAATGAGATAACAAGTAAAGGAATATTAATGTTTGTAGATTGTACATAGTGTAATATCATCTTTCCTCACTTCTTGATTACTTGCCAAACAGAATGACCCACTGTCAGAATACAGTGAATAAGTATTTGAAAAGGATACTGTTTTCTAACAATTCAATGTCTTACTGTGTTAAGTGATTATAAACAGATGATGGCTAAAACAGTCCCAAGTAGCACGCAGCTAGATGTGAGCTAGTTACTTACTTCCATTAAAACGGTGCCTCTTGATCCCTTGGCACCCTGAAACAAATTAAATACAGATCCAGAACATTACAGACATGACTCTGATAATGTATTTTCATCTATGACTCTGTAGTCCAAAGAAAATGTAGGCATGTAGCGTTACCCTGACAACCGCTTGCAAATTTAAGATATGAGGAGATAACACTGCTCAGTATAGATTTTTCTGATCCTGAAGGACTTGCAGACTACTAGTCCATCCTGTTTCAAGGTATGTTTCTCTCTTTGTTCTTATAAATTCTCACTGCCTATCACTCTTAAGGACCAGTATCTATCTGAATTGGCTCTCTAAACAGCAACCTCTGTTCGTTGAAAAACTGTTGCGGTGCAGTTACCTGCAATCTGTATCCTTTTCAACTCTGATGTGCAACGTGCTTGCTCTCTCTTGCAGGGCAAATCCCAACAGTTCAACCTCGAGAGATTCTGCAGACCATGCATGCATCATGATTGCTCAGCCAGTCTAGCTATCTTTGGCTACTCAGCAGCCTTCTCTCTAGGAGCTGAGGGCAAACATGAGGATTCCAAACAACCTTTTTCAAAATCTTGAATTAATTGTTCAATTTTCATCATAGGAATAAAATACAAAGAAAATGGTTTGTTTTTTTTTTCTTTTACCCCCTCAAAGGCCGCTTGAGAGCTTTTGTCATATGTGAAATTCAAATATATAGCAAGGTTAGTGAACTTAAGGCACTTAAGTCAGAAGGTGCAATAGTGAGGTAAACCAGAAAAATTTGAACTCCATATACCATAACCTTTGCTCTAGACTCTCTATTTCATGACATTATAGTTTACCAAAATCACGTACCTCCTTGCATCCCCAGATAAGAATCCCATCTCATTTGTTACTTTCTCCTCAAATTAACCTTCCATTCTTCCATCTCTTTCCTGAGCTTCTTCCCTAATCCCACCTTAGCTTTCCTGCTGCTAGTATAATCACAGATATTCCACGTATTTATCTTCAGCTCAGCTGTACAAACTTGACCAAAGAGATAACCCCACCAACAAGATAAGAAAGATGGGAAAACAGCCCTTTTTTGGATGGCTCTACCTACTACTTGTATCCATTTTGCAACCCCCTCTCTTCCACTTGCTGCAAAATTTCCCACTTATTTCATTCATGCACTGCTACCACAATAATCCCACCAAACCCATACATTCTGTACTCCCTTCTCACTCAAGAGATCTTGAACTTGTAATCTGAAGATTTCTTGGACAAAAACAACTATATAGCTCATTAGGTCATAAAGTCTGTCCATAACATAGACATTGCAGATGACAGCCAAACAGCACAGAACATAGTGATCTAGATATACTCATTGGCCAGAACAGTGCAATGACCAAAAATTATGTTTCTAACTTGCATGTACCCTGTAGGCCGTATCAAACAGAAAAATAGTGTTATCAAAAGTTACATTTTAGAACTAAAAATGTACTTTAAAAAATGTTTTGAAAGAAAAAATGAATGCCTACAATGTTAGTCTTAGTTACTACTGACATTCATTACCCTTTCATCTCCTTTGATAAAGAACATAACCTTTTCTTGTCTAAAATACAGATAAAAGCACTAGAAAATACAGCAATTCATCTAGTTGTATACAAGGAGTAACAGGGTATGGTCAGCTTAAGCTTTAAATGGGTGCCTGTAATTGTAAATTTAATTTCATATGGCTTTTCTTCTTAAATGAAAACGTACTTTGGATTTCAGCAGAACAACCTTGTTCTACATTTTAAGTTTTCTCATCTTTTTAGATTAAATTTTTTTAGCCACTGGAGAGACAACATCAAAGATTGTGGAAGAAAATCTGCCCTGCACTGTATCATTGTAATTTCATTTCCAACAGCAGGTGCTCATGTGAACAGATCCACATGCAAGATGCAGTTCCATATGGCTGGCAGATTGATTAAGTACTGTATATGTTAAGAAACACTGTTGAATATTCTATTAATCTAATATTAATATAAGAAATTCAAGAGATATCTAGGAAGATCTTTTAAAAATACATTACCATAGGTCCTGATGGTCCTTGATCCCCTGGATCTCCCAGGGAACCTGGTGTGCCAGCATTACCCTAAAAATACAAATACAAATTTTATTCTTTATAATTGCACACACAAGCAGAATTTCAGCAGAGCAAAAACCTTTATAAGTACACTGTGAGCCAGTTCCTGCATTTGAGCAGTGATAGACTACTATCCCTAAGAATTACTAGCAACAATCAATTCTAAAGATTTTGGTGTTCATTCTCTCCAAGACCTCTTGCCCAGGTTATGAGGTTACTGCAATAAAAGATTGGAGTAGGAATTGTTTGTTTGTTGTGAGGAAACACTAGAGATCTTTGGGGCTTTGCTTACTGAATTCTCCATGGAGTAAAAAGAATTATCATTCTTACCCTTCTACCCCTAATTCCTTTTGGTCCTTTAGCTCCTGAAACACCTGGGTCTCCATCTTCTCCCTGAAAATTAATGAAATCCAGAACTTTGTAGGAAAGAAGAATACAAAGACACATAACAAACTCTTCCAAACAAGAATAGTGCAAAACAATAAATAATGAAAAGAAACATGCTCATTTAATTATACCTCTGGACCAGGATACCCTATGAATCCAGATTCCCCCTGCCAAAAGAAAGAAAAAGGATTTCATAAGAATCTAGAAGTTTCTGACCTCCTTAAGTATTTGGTATCTTTAAATCAAAAGAAATTTCAAAATTATTCTTGGCATGTCAAGCCACTCAAGTAACAGTGAGTTTGAAATGAGCCCGTAGGCCTGGGCCTGCCATTTTAATAGGCAAATCACTCCAAGTGCAATTAGGAAGTTATCCATTTCTCAGCTTTTTTTTTCCTTTTTTTTTTTTTTTTTTTTTTTTTCCTTTTCTTGTCTTTTTGTTTGTTTGTTGTTTAGTTGGTTGTTTTTTTTTCCTGTGCTGGCTGTTTTTATTATTTAGTTTCTCAAGACTTACATAAAAGAGACAAAATACATTGAATGTCATTCTGAAACTGAAATATTCTTCCAGGACTGACAGTAAATTGCTTTTGATGTGCAGTTACACTTATCCAGCATTTTATAGATGTTATTTCTCAGTCTGACTTACCATAACCAATCCATTTGTCAATGCTTTCACAAAAAGAATCCATATACCTTTGCCTTGCTTTCAGAGTCTGCATTTCTTTTCCAGATTTAGTAGCAGTGAGGATTAGGAGAAATATCACTGTAATTTTATGTTTTATATGTTAATACTAAATAAAACAATGTGGGATTTCTTTCCCCAACAACACTCATTACAAAACCTAGCTTTTTTTTTTTTTTTAATATGTTTTGTATATTAATTTTAAATCAACAGCAACAATGATGTAAAAAACCCTTCAAACTATGACACAAATTCCATTTTATTTAAATTCTGTTTCCCAAGACCAAAATTAGTAATCAGTGTTTTGACAGAAGGTGTAAATAGACAAATGATCAATCATCAACCTACTATGGATTACTTACTACCTCATTTAAGTCATGTATCCATGGAGGTATAATTATTTTGATCTCATTCTTTTCTGTGTACTTTTTATTTTAGCCAGATTCTTGTATGTTTTTAAAGAAGTAGACATTTCCTCACTGCTAGCTCATCAAGCCTTGCAACAGGAGTGGCTAGTTAAGCACACTGGAGTGCTTTCGTCCTGCAAAAAGTACAACTTACAAACCCATATCCAAAAGCACACATATACACCAATGAAAAAGGAAGAGCGTGGTTCTCAAAAGAGTAGCTCCCTCCCAGTCGTTCTCACGTGTTATCATATGTCACCATTTGTTCAAAATGGAAGCATAATTCTCAGTCCAGTTTTCAATATCAGCAGAGACAAAGAACTACGTTTACATCAAACTGCATTCTTTAGCTCTCATGAAAGAGAACTAGAGATCACAGCTGCATTAATTTCACTGCAGAACCTCTTACAAGCTGTGGGAAGGCTGAACCTCTTGCTGAACACAAGGAACATGCTGTGGCCACATCTTACATTTCTCTTAAATCAATACTGACTGTCTCATTAACACTGACTTTGTGTAATGGAGGCTGAGAAACATTTTTACCTTTGCTCCTTTGTTTCCTTCAGGACCATAGATGTCTCTGCCATCCATGCCCTGCACAGGTTGAGTATACCATCAGTTAGCTTTTAATAGAAGATGAGATTTATTTCTATTTCTATTTTGGAAGAGAGACCTCTCCCAGTTATGGTAATTATACCACCTCATCCAGGCTTTTGATACTGATAAGGCAGGGCAATGTATCATGACACAGTCTAAAAGCAGTAGCAAATGGTACAAAAAGCTGCAGAAAGTAAACAGTAATTAAGGCCACAGCACCTCTCCACTGTGTGACCTAATTCCAATACAGTCTCTCTTAGTAGATATAGAGAATATGAAAGATTACCTCTAGCCCACAAGGAACTTGGTTTCCATAAAAGCTGAGAACCAAATCTGAAATCATTTTATTTGCACCAAGTAGTGAAAATAGAAAAAGGGAATTAACTGTACTGATTCAGTTGAATGAGTGTTTAACTACAGGGGCCCTGAATTAGGGCAGAAGGACTCACTGGTATGCCTCTCGGTCCAGGTGGTCCCACAGGGCCTTTCTCTCCAGGGTCACCAGGCTCACCCTGTCATAATTGAAATATAATAACTATTAGTTTGACTCATTCATGAGAACACTTATTTTGGAAATACAGATTTGTCTGCTAGACTGAAAATTGCTTATACCTCTTTACAGAATACGTGATGCATGTGAAAAGCACTGCATTATTGTTTGTGTTTGAGAGAACACTCCTTGGAGCAGAACCAGAAAGTACTGTGCAAAACAGTGAACATTCATGCAGCTAAACACCACAGGCCTTCTTTCATCAAAAATACTCCCATTTTTGTATAGAATTCCTAGTGGCAAGGGTGTTTTTTGGGAGAAGCTGTGTTAAGACAAGCAGGACATAACTAGGAGTTCTACCAGCATGAAGCATCTGTTGATAGCAGAGAACATTTCTCAGTCAAGCAGTCTAGCTTGCATTCTTAGTACTTCTGCAAGTTTTCTTTTCTTTAGTTTAAACTTTATTAAAGAAACTTTTTTTCTATCAAGAATCCCAATATAAACAGCAAAGACTGAGTGCATGGATTATATGACGGAGTACTTCACATATTCTGACTGATTCCTGTAAATAAAGCAAAAATTTACATGGTGGAATCTTTTGAACAGAAAGGTTGAAATGAATAAAACCACCTCATTAACCAGAATTCATTTTCAATGCATAGGAATCAAAACACTTGACACCACTGCCATATTCCTACTGCACTTCATGAAAAAACAGGTCCCATTGAAGGCTATGATGACAACAATCAAAAAAGCAGCCATAGTGACTAATAATTTCTTAGCATAGCTCTGACACCCGTGTGTGACTTTGCATCCATCATTTGCATTACCATGTAATCAAAAATTCATATAAAATGTATCAACCCTCACATGTTCCACAAGAACAACACAATATTAGTTCATGGCTCTTCAGTCAGATTCTTGAATGATGCCGAATGATTGCTGTGATCATGTACTTCAAAAATGTTTACCTTTGCTCCTCTTGCACCAAGCTTTCCAATTGAGCCAGGTGGACCTGGGGGACCCAGACTAGCCTATAATCAGAAATATCAGTAAAGAAGTGAATGGTGAAGAACTCAAGGACTCACTACACTCAAGGATTCACTGCCACTTGAAGTTTTTGTACAATCAGTATAGACATATTAGCACAGAAACAGATTTCACCAAAGCTCTTCAAGGACCACAGTAGGTTATGTATCACACTGTCATTCAAGTTATTTCGTGTTGTTGGTGTGACTACAGTAAAATTCTCAAAATGTTATTTAGTGTGAAATAAATATTTTCTACCTACATACATATTTAAGTATGACAAAAATGCACAAAGTGAATATATATACACACATATATACACTGGATCAGTGTTTAATCATGAGCATCCTTACATGACTAAAGCAGATGCCCAAGGCTGATAGAGTCAGATATTCCAATTTGGAGTCATACCAGTGTAACTCCAGAATAAGAATCCTGAAGCCAACAGCATTATGATCAAGTGAGAAGATCAGTGGTCAGGGCTCAATAGTTATAACTTAGCATTAGATATGTTCTTGTTTCAGCTTAGATGGAGCTGATTTTTTTTCCTTCATGCCATCTGGTATGATGCTGCTGTTTGACTTTAAGAGAAAAACAATGTTGACAACACATTGATGCTCTAGTTGTTGCAGAACAGTGCTATATGAGCCAAGGACACTGTAGCTTCTCAGCTTCTTGTACTGTCCTTCCAGTGAGGGGAGCTGAGGGGGCATAAGGAGCAGAAAGGGGACAGAACCAGAACAGCTGATCTAAACTGGCTGAAGGGATGTATTGTGTGACATGTGAGGAAAAAAACTTGAACAACGGTGGGGAGCTGGCCAGGCAGCTTGCTGCTGCTTGAAGACTGGCTGGGTCTCCTTGGCAAGTGACAAGTAATTGTTAGTGTATCACTTGTTTTGTTCTGCTTTTAAATGCTTTTCTCAAAACAATCACCCATAGAAAATACAAACTTATCCCTCTGAATTCTCTAATTGCAAACAGCAACAAGATTTTACTGTGGGAGTAGAATGATTTGGATTCCCCCCCTCCCCCCCCCGAATACTAAGGCCAGTAATAAAAAAAGCAGCTATAACTACACCCCAATAATTTAACTTCTCTACCACCAATGACAAGCTGATTACTTAACTTTGTCTTCAACTTCTCCACTGTATATAGCTCCTATATGTGCTGCAAGCCATAGTGCTACTCCTGATTCTGTGGAACTGAGAGATTAATATAGAACTAAGCCTTTACATTGCAACCATGCAAAAGACTGATAATACTTTAGTTCACTTCTTATTCACCCATCCAAACTTATTTTCAGGGCTGTGATTTCAGTATAATCAAAATCAAAGTTTGCAGCCTCATTCAACCATCAGTTTCCTTAACAACTATACTGGAAATTGTTCAGTTTCTTCTTTCTGGAAGTCTTTAAAAACCTCACTATAAAAATAATACCACCTCCGAGAAATCAAAAGCTCTAAGCTGTGAAGCAAGGATTATTTAAAGCTAACCTGAGAGCCTGGCATGCCTTGTGGTCCTGGAGGTCCTCTGATCCCTTGTGGTCCTCTTGGGCCCTAGCACACAAAAAAAGAAAAGTCAGTTCAGTAGTGATAGATTTTCAATGAAGATTAGATTGTTCTGCAAGCCTTAATGCACAGGTGGAACTTCCAGCCCTTTGAGTATAAGACTTAACCTCTGTGAAGCACCTGAGATGTTCATCGCCTGAAGGCCACATTCAGAGAGCCACTGTGGTGTCTATGACACCCATGAGACATTAAGCAACACTCTGCTGGGCATACTTTCTCTAGATGTCTATATAGTGAGTGGATGGAACATGTTAAACCTGAAAGCTATCATAAGCCTTCTACCACCATAATTCTCTTCAAAGTAACTCCATCAAGCACATTTTAAAATCACAAAACATTTCTCTTCATTTGGTCAATTAGCATATAGTTTTCACAATGTCCTAATAACCTCGAAATACAATACATTCAATATTCAACAGGTTGTACTTATTACTAGCAATTTCTAATGAATACATTTGAAAATATTCTAGATATTTAGAACTAGAAATACATTGACTAGATTTCTCACTTTCCTCTTGATTTCACTGCAAGCTGCACATGCATAAACATAAACTTCGTACATTCAGTTCCTCAGGGTCACAGAAGATATTTGCCAAGGAATTTCCCTCATAATATTCATTAGTTGAAGTAAATAAAGCATTCCAAAATAAAAAAGATCAAGACTGACAACTAATTTCTCCACTGCTAACATAAATCAAATCCAAAGTACTTTTAGCTACCTGTGGGCCTGGGAGACCAGGGTCTCCTGGGTAACCCATTTCCCCGAGTTCTCCTTGCTCACCCTGCCAGAACAAAAGAAAACACATGTAAATAAAAGATTTGATAAGAAAATATGCATATCAACAGATAATCACTTTGTGTTTGCATAGAGTATTAGCTGAAAGAATGTTTATTTCAGTTCATCCAAGTAACTTTCAAGCAGCTTCAACTTCCTGCTGAAGAAAACTCAATTAAAAAGCAAAAAAAATTAGGTAGCTTTTTTTTAATTGGTATACAATATGTGATGAACACATAAGGTACAGAGCAAGAGGTCAGTTTTATTTGCCTTTTACACCATGGTCTCAGCAATACTCCTGCATTACCTATCTCTTATGAACTGACAAAGACAGAGCCGCAAGAACAGAGCACCTTCACCACCTACAGAAGTAGAATCATGACTTCACAATTCATCCTACAACTAAATGTTATCTACCTCACCTTTCACACTGTTCACTCAGTGAGATAAGTCCAGTCTTTCCTGAAGATGGAAAAAAACCAAATTGCTTCCTTCTCACATCTACATAAAGTTGCCATTTAAAGCTGTCAGTTTAGCTGGCATCCATAATAAATATTTTCTGTCTCTGCTGGATTGAATAAAACTGCGATATTTGCATCAAAATGTTACAAGCTTACAGAAAATCTCCTTTCACTAGGGAGAGGATAACAGCACTCTGAAGATTCTTGGGAAACAGGTAATTATGGATAGAATTTCCAGAGGAAAAGTATATTGAAAAGGCCATACTCTTACCTTCCACAGAAATAGAATAAAACATATCAATATAAAGAAAAAAACCATTATATTTGAATAAGTTTATTCATAGCTAGAGTAAAAACATTGACACACAGAACATTAGTTACAGACTGATGCTAGGCTTATGACATCTGCAAAACTAATAAATAAATAAAATAGAAATAGATTTCCACCAAAATCAGCAATAACAAATAACACTGACTACAGTGAAAACGGATAAGAAAATTTTTCTTAGGCACACCACGTAAGAATACAAGGCCAACAGAATGTTTCTAGATAATTTGAATCAGTTTCAGAAGACAGTCTTTGGTGCTTCTCCCCCTTACGTCATCCTCTACTTTACCTCTCCCTTCTTTACTGTTTGGTTTTGTTTTGAGAGCAAAGTACAAAGACTGCAGTGCTATTCATGTCTGTGACAAGCACGTCTCTAAGGCTATACTGCCACTTCTGTTCCTTCTGCCTGCTGACTACTTGTCTTCAGAACAGCTAGCTCTGCTTCTTTAAGAACTGTTTATTTCTTATTCTTACTGAAAGTATCCTTTCAATCCCCCTTTTTTTTTTACTACAAAAAAGCAATAGATTAATGCATCTGTAAGACCTGGAAAATTGCCCTTTTCAGGATATGGTGAAAAGTTATGAGTTTGTTGATGGAGCATTAGTTCAGTGTATTTTACTAACAAACAAAAATAATCGGAGTCATTATGCAGTAACTGGGATTCTTCTGGCTGATTCTCTCTACATGATAATTTGGCCCTAAGCATATTACTAGATGGCATAGCAAAAGACCACCAGTACCTATCTTCATCTGAAAGACGGGTTGATTTGTACTCCAGCATAAAACCTTCCTTTTCTAGAAGGACAGTCCATACCATATTTCCTTATACAGTCAGATCCTGCTGCTCAAAGGAAGATAATTCTTTGCTACATTAAATCATTCTCTACAGGAGTGAGCTTTAGAGTGTGTGGAAGTACCGTGCAGACATGTACACATGTAGCAAAGGAAGAGAAAACTATTAGCCATTTACTGCAGCATCTCCACTCATTTCTGTCATGTTTAGCAATTCTCTATTTATGTTCCCAAATTTATATTAAAATATATAGTAATATATTATTATATATTAATTCTAATAAAATAATAACTAACAGTAAAATTGCCCTTTTATTTCAGTGAAAGCTGTCCATCTTCTTTGCAATTCTAAATCCTTCAAATCAGGAATGCTTCTTGTATATCATCCATAGAAGGCTGACTTAATTGCTGAAAACTTGTGTCTTAGATCACACGGAAATTTCTATGTTAAGTGGAACAAAAGCTCAGGCTGGACCCATAGATGCCTGTAGATAAACAGCAGCAGTGTTAGCCACTCACCTTTATACCTGGAGGGCCTCTTCGACCTTCTGCACCCTAGAAAGGAGCAGGATGAGAGATTACATCCAAAACACCGAGAAAGACATGAAATAACTTATAATTAAATATATTCAACTTATATAAAACAGAGATCATTTACAAACAATAAAAAAAATCCATGTGTTTAAGGTAAAATTGAGAAAAGAATGGACTTGGGTCAAAAAACCCTACACGAGTATTACATTTACCAGGGAAAAGGCCTTTAGTGAAGGAGAGGGAAGACATCCCAACAGAATTCTGTAAAATACTTTCCCAGTCAACTGCTCCTTGGCCAAAATAGGAGTCCACTGCTCTCCTCAGGCAAAGGGCCTACAGCACTTTCCCGTGCACACTGCTCAGCCGCATCAGTGAATGTTATCAAACTTCACATCACTAGAGGACTTCAGAATGTTCTGCGCTTCTTAGAAGTGACAGTGATTCCATGCATTATCATTAGGGACCATTCTGACAAACTAGAAGGGGTGCCTTCATAGGTTCCAGTCCCCAGCGGATTAAAAAGAGCTGCAGACGTGGAATTTACAGTCCCAGGAAGGAAGAAGGGATAAAGGGATAAATTCATTTGTGATGAAGTAACAAAACAATTAAGCTACATAGAAAAGGCTGCACTGAATTTAAAGCTTATAACTTCACATTAATAAGACCTGAAATTAGTTTTATAGCAAATTTTATTTAATTAAAAAAAAAAAAAATTAGCTACTAAATTTGAAGTGAAGTATGCTTCACTGTTAGAATTATAGATTTGTTTTGTTCCTTTTTACTGCAGGAATTTTTTAATCTCACAAAGAAAACAAGATTTGTTCATCCTCTCAGTGGGAATACCACTGTATCTTGGATCGATTATTTCTACTATGTATTGATCACTCTTCTTACATCAGGACCAGCATGGCCCTGCTCTCCTTGGAGTCCATGTGGTCCTGGGTCTCCCTGCAAAACAAAACAATAAGACCTTTAAATAGAGTTTCTTCTTGTTGTAATTACTCTTTCTTCTCTTTCTGATCCTTCTTAGATTCTTCTCCTAAGCAATTTTATTCCAACCAGTTACATTATGCTAAAAGCTGAGTCATTATCTGCAAATCACTTGCAGTAAGGAACTACAAAGTACAGTGATCATACTTGCTTTGAATTTTCAATTGAGCAGTTACTAATTGTTGACATTTTGTCAAAGCTTTTGTGAAACCACTTTTATTGACTATGGTCTTTCAGCTCTACTTCTTAAGATGAGAAGGGAGTAAGGTTTGCTACCAAAAAAGTCATCAAAACACAGTTATTCTCTGAGGAGTGACTTTCATCGTTCTTCTACTACTTTCAGCAAATTTTGCAAAGACATGCATACATACACAGCTACTTGTCTAAGTAGAATCAAACTTTTAAAAACAGTGGATTTTTCTTGCATGCTGCTAGAAAGTTTTAGTGGCTTTTAACTCATTTTAAAACTTTGTGTTGTGGATATGCACTAAAGGTAAATTTAAAAGAGCTGCTTAGTCACTAGATAGGAAGTACAGCTAAGCAATTATCCAAATCCTCATTCTTCTTTAATACAGATTTACTTGCTTACCTGCCATGCTGGGTTTCCTTTTTCTCCCTTAGGACCAGCAATATTATTGTCAATCCCAGGATCTCCCTGGAAAAGTTCAGTAGAAAACTAAACATTTGGTGATCACACCTTTATTACTCTACCTATAGATGCAGAACATGGAAATAGGATCAACGAGATTAATCATCGTGGCCAAAAAGAAATGCATAAAGGCTATTTAAAAAATATATGCTTGCAAGAACACTTTATAGGCACTTCTGCAAAAAGGTGAAAATATGTATCACCAATGGGAAACAAATCAAATTCTTAAAATGTGAAGTTGTTCTGGTTGAGTAAATTGAGCTAAGATCGTGCCTAATTAACAATTCTCAGACGAAGTTGTATTAGAATATTTATATTTAGCCATCTGAAGCTACATATACATGAAATCCTGATTCCTCAAAGAAGCCCAGTTACCATGACATCTGATATCTTTCATAAGCTTTAGAAGACAGGAGTCATCACTTTATTCTTAACTCTTCAGAAAAACAAAGATCTTTGAAATATGGATGAGAAGACAAAGTTGAGATACAATAAATACAGTGCCTCCAGTGAAATTTTTATATAGGGAGCTCTGGAGTACAACAAAGAAGATACGGTGGCACGAAGAAGTGAATTACCTTTGCATTGTTATAAATTTCTAACCAAGAGTCAGTTAAAAGGGATTTTAAATGATTGAGAAATTCCTCTTATAATGAAAACCACAAGGGAGGAATAAATACCTCCAAAAGGAGCTACATTGTTCATAGTAGAAACAGAAATAATTAAACATTCCTTGCAGAAATGCAAGGGACGACCAGAAGATCTAAGGCTTAAACATCTGCTTCCAAGCAACGTATTAAAACAGATCAGTTCATCAGCAACTAAAGAGTACAGAACTCTTGAATCGTACCATACTTTTTGGACAGTACTGCAACATCTAGAAATGGGAAAAACTCTTCAAATCATGTATCACATCATATCTCAGGTAGCTCCATCATGAAAACCAGGCACAAAACTGGTTCAGCAGAACAAAAATGAAGAAATATACTTACATGATCTCCTCTTAGACCAGGTTCTCCTCGTTCACCTGGTTCTCCTCTGAGGCCTTTTCTGCCCTGAAGTCATAAAAGGAATATAAGAAATTCTGGTATAGGTAGAGACAGTACCCATGGTAGTGGAAGGCAGATAATAGATCTAAGTGGAGCTACACAGATTTGCAACAGGAGCCATCACAGAGAATGGGTAGCTATACGTACTAGATACTGTAACATACTAGAGAACAAGTCAGGGGCATTACAGAGAGCGCTACACTTCAGACAGCTGTTTTCATAAAATCTCATTCTTATAAAGGATATTTTACCCGTTTTCCAGGGCTGCCTTTCTCTCCAGGAAATCCAGGAGATCCATGTTCTCCCTAAACTCACAAAGAAGAAAGAAAGAGGAAATTAAAAAAATAACAGATGTTCTTTCCGATAAACGTGCTTCTCAAATTCTGCCTGGCAGGATCCAACTTCTATTAGGCATGCAACTCCAAACAACTAAGTTTCTCTCTAAACAACTGAATTTCTGTTCAGCTTTAAAACCCATTCAAAGGCAAAGAAACCTGTACTTTTAAACCCTGAAATAGGTTTCTCTAATTGCGCTTCATGATTACCTGTTCTCCATCGATGCCATCAAATCCACTCTCACCATGCTCACCCTACAACAATAAACAAAGCCCCATCATATTAGCATCAATTCACTTGTGTCTTTTATCAGGGAAGAAGTGATGACTCTGCTTTGGGAAACTTGGGAAAAAAAATGGTGTGTAGTAGTAATGGCTAGCAAGAACAGTTTAAAATAATGATTACAACATAGAACTAATAATTAAGAACTTTTAAAGAATTATTAGCTTTCAAAATAGTTAATATTTAAGAACAGTTAATGAGAATTGATAAAATTATAGATCTTTTCTAGGATTTAAGTTGTATTCTGTTATACAGTTTTGCACAAATTCAGTACCTTCAAAATCTAGGAATATTCCAAAATAGAACTAGCTTACAGGTCCGCAATTTGGGTTTTCCATTAATACTTTGGAAATAAAACTGGCCAGGTGTAAATCTTTTAAGAACAGTGATTTAGTTTAGGACAGAAGTAAGAGGAATGAGGAAAAAGCAGTCATTTCAGATCACGTAGGGAGCATGGGTCTAATCTACACCCATTGTATGATGCTCTCCATGAAGTTTTCACTCTGATTTCAGGCTGGATATTAGGAAAAATCTCTTCTCAGAAAGAGAAGTAAGGCATTGCAGCAGGCTGCCTAGGGAAATAGTAAGTCACCGACACTGGAGATGCCCGAGAAACACATACAGGCACTGAGGGAGATGGTCAGTGGGCATGGTGGGGATGGATCGATGGTTGGACCAAGCAGTCTTAGAGGGCTTTTCCAACCTTGATGATTCTATGATTACTGGATATAAAGAAAAAAATAAATTTCATTTATTGTTAAAAATAGAACAGTTAACTGAGACCACAGTCATTTTACTACCCTGGAAGACAAAACAGCTCACAAATTAATTCTTATACAAACATATTAATTGCACTTTAAAGACTTTGATGCTTTTAACCTGTTCCTTCCTATTTTTTATCTTACAAGGTAGCATGAATTAAAACGAAGCAGAACATTATTCTCCTCAAAGAAAAATTGATTACACATGGAAACACATACCTGACTTCCCTGATAACCCCTGGGTCCCTAAAAATGAAAAGAAACATCAATTGAATTTGGTGACAATCTTCAGAAGCATGATAAACCAGCCTGATGTGAAAAGGCACTCTGGGCTCAGTATTTGTAACACTTTTTGGAAAGCCCCCTACCGCCACTTTGGGGATTGACCCCTTTCCTTTATGAAGAGGTACAGCCTTCATTATTACTTCCATCCTATAACGATTTGTATTTTTACCTCAGACCAATCTGGAGCTGGTGATGAAAAAGCTACTGGCAATAACTGAGTCAGCAAACTCCCTTGATTCATTTTGCTTACAAAGTGCCTCCCAAAAGGAGAGCAAAAATTGTACGCTTTTACAACTGGAGGTCTTGCTCTCCCCATCCATGTTTCAGGAAAGCAGCAGCACAGAACAGTTTTGCAGAAAACAAGATTAAGAAACACTTCAGTGACATACTTGCCTTACGGCCTCTGGCACCTGCACATCCCCTATCTCCTCGAGTCCCATTGAAACCAACCGGACCCCTGTCTCCCTAAGAAGCAAAAAAGTGATGTTAAAACTCATCCTTATAAAGATGTTTATTGGTTAAATAATTAAGATTAAAGCAAAAGAGAATAACATCACCAGCTGGTGTGCTGATAGGGCACATGGAGATGATTGTGGACAGAAGCAGGTCAGCTGACCTAATCTGGGTATAATCCCTACCATATGACATCATGCAAAAATGAAAAATCTGTGGAGAGAGCTGACTGGGGGCAGCACCACTGCTCAAGGGACTGGCTGAGCATCAGTAAGCTGGTGGTGAGCAATTGTGTTACGCAGCAACTGTCTTGGGGAAAAAAAAAAATATATATATATATATAATCATTACTATTTCTTTTTTTCTTCTTCTTAGTAAATAGTTTTCATCTCAAACCACAAGTTCTACTTTGATTTTTTCCAGTTCTCTTCCTCTTCCCATAGAGATGGGGAAGCTGTATGGTGCTTTATTGCTTGCCAGGTTAAACCACACATTTTATTTTAGATAACATTAGAAAAAAAAAAACCAGAGCAAACAAGAGCTCTGGTACTATCAGGTAAAAGAAATAACTTGGATATCCTGACATCAGAAAAACAGAGATGACTTTCTGCTTTCCTTACTCATTAAACTCGTCTCTCTCTGGACTAGCAAAAGTGCACTGTGGATCACATTCTAACTTAAGTTAGACAGAGGTACCATAGAGTCACAGTACAATAAAGTTTGAAACCTTTTTTTGGCCTGACTGTTGTCTGTGTGACACATTTTGACTAACATCTGAGCTGGATAATACACAATTATAATCCAAAACTGTCCAGCATTATCTCTGCAAACTCCCTTCTGCGTGGCATCTCCTATATGTAGCCTATTATCCACTTCCTGCTATGCATTTATTATATTCAAATGTTTTGGATACTTAAAATATTTATATTATGGCTGAAAAAAAAGTTTAGCCTTTACTAGGGAAAATTTACCATGTGAAATTCACTTTTGAACTTCACATGCAGAAAACAGACAGCTTCTGAGATCCTTCCATGGTACAGAGAAACAGAAAAAAAAGCATCAGGAAATTTAGAAGCAAGACTTACATAATTTAACTGCTCTATCAGATCACTCTACATTCTCAGAAGGTTTAAAAAAAAAAAAAAAAAGTAGAATTTTAATTCTGTAAAATCACAGAATAATAGAAACTTTTTGGATGGAAGGGACCTTAAAGATCAGCTGGTTCCCAGCTCCCTCACAGGGTTGGGATCACCTTCCACTAGATCAGTCTGCCAAAAACCCCATCCACTTTGGTCTTGAACACTTGCAGGGACGGGATATCCACAGCTTCCCTGGGTAACCTGCATCAGTACCTTACACCCTCATGGTAAATAATTTACTCTTAATGTCTAACATAAATCTATTCTCTTTTGTGTTTTAAACTCCTTATCCTATTGTGCATCTGTTCACACACAAAGAAAAAAATTGTTTTGATCCCTTCACAACTTCAAAAGAGACAAGACATTGAATTTTTCAAATCAAAATACTGTGGCAAAAAAAAAAATAAATAAAATCAGATATTTCCTATTTCAAAGTATTCAGAATATTTTCACTTTAAAAAAGAACCTCAGGGCTTCAATTTTAATTTTAATTCTGGAAATTGCTTATGTGGAATTTTATTCTATCATTAGAAAAATCAGGCTACGTGAAAAATAAATAAATAGATAGACAGATAAATAAATAAATAAATGTGGATACTGCTCAAATAGCTACAACCAGTGATTCCTAAAGAAATCATTAAACCACCATCCTGATGCAGTTTCCTGATAATCCTAGAAGACAACTCTTCATTTCCATCACCACTTTCAAGAGAGGGTTGGCTTCCTGCAGGCAGTCTAACCAAGGGCAAATTTAGGCTGAGTAACCTACTGTGAAAATTGGAAGTCCAGTGCAGACTTCACAATTACATACACAGAAAGATATCCTTCTCTGGTTGTTGGTTTGCAGACTTCTCACTTGTAATTAGGAGTGATATTTAAGTTGTGTGCAGTACTGTAAACATAGTAGTTTGCTTTTAGCATAAGAAAATTGTCACTTACACTTTGCAAGATTTCTTTTGTTTCCAGACTGCAAAAGAAGCAATATTCCCAGGGGACTGAATTTTGGCATATGTACACTATGCAGAACTCTTTGACAGGAAGAGCACAATGCAAAGAATTTAGAAAGTCACCAAAACACTGCTGAATTTAACTTTGTTAGACAGTCATAAGATATTCAGTTATGCTAAGAAGGGATGGGATGGCCTTTTCTGCAATAATTATCTGCACAATCTGCCACAAAATAAGAATATGACATACAATTATGCCACATAAGATCCTATTCTTGATTCTGACTGACTCCGTTTCTACATTAGAAGCTATTACTTGTTATGGTGAAGTGCAGATGCACATAGAATCAAGTCCATGTAATTGTCTTCAGATGCTGCTTAAACACATTTTAGGTTAGGATTGATAAGACTGAGCGAATGAGTAAGTGCAGGCAGATTCAGGCATCTATAAACACCATCTTATAAGGAAAGAATGTTTACTTACAATCCCACCTTCCTCACCAGGGTGGCCAGGAGATCCTCTGTAACCTGTACTTCCCTGAAAGACAGGAGCAAAAGAGAACACTCTTCTCCAAGCACACTGAGTTTATTTGCATCAAGTTACTCTGCCCATGTGGACAGAAAAATTTTCTTGAAAATCAGATCCAGTTAAGCTAGGGAGAGCAGGTTCCACCCCTACTGTGCTAATACAACCACTCTGCACAGCGTTCTGCATACTTGACACTGTGGTGGAAGAAAAAAAATTGGTAAAATAATGTTCAATATAAGGTTCAAAACATTATCTCAGGAATTAACAAACCTAACAGATTAACAAAGCTTAGTGAGTTATTTGGTCAAATTAAGTATCAATCTTTACGATTTTGAGGAGGAAACCATAAGGAAATTCTAAGGTGAAATGAAAAATATAAGGAGGCAAAAAATTGGATAGGACAAAGATTTTGCAATAGATTAAGACAACTTTGTGAATACTAAAACTTTGTATTTCAACTGACTCAAACCTCATAGCCTCAGGTTAAGTATGTGTAAATCTATTTAGCATGCATATATACACATCTATTGCACAGGAACTAGTACAGAGTTTCTAGAAATTGTGACAAATTTGTGCTGAAAAAATGTTTTTAAAACTGTAAGCTGTACAACCCAACACATCATGTCCATCCACCTGCAGTACAACTACATCTACCTTCTGAACACTGTTTCATCTGAGCATTACAGTTCAGATTAATAAAGCAGGTGTAAGAATACCAACAAGAGTAATGGAAGAAATCAGCGTTACAAGACTACACTTTTGCTAAGGAATAAGTAAAAATGGATTTATCTGCAACCAGACAACTGAAGAGTGTAAAATACAATGACAAATTATTTAGAGTGTTCCCAAAACAAGAAGAAATAATGGAATTAGTGTAATATTTAGTCTCTATTTGTATATTATACTAAAAACCTTAATAATGAGGTCTACTAGCATGCTGTAGAAGTGATGAAGTCTGCTATATTTGAAACAGATAATAGAAGAGATAATAAAAAAACCTGATATGTTGTAAATTAGTGCTGCATTGATCAGGCACAAAAGTCTCACATCTTGTGAAGAGGGATTTTTATTTCCTACTCTCATCTTGGCAGTTGCCCATTTCTTATTCACAGTTAGCTAAAAATGCTGAATCATCTTATCAGAAATCATTTTGAAACCCCTCTCTATTTACTGCTGAATTCTGTGAAGAAGACCACTTAACTATATTTTGGAGGTACTTCCATTACAAAAATACCTTTGTAATAGCAACATGGAGAAGAGAAACGATTACATTACATCTTTTATCTCCATCTGTCCTAATGACAAAGGTTATGGGCATCTGAATGCATGCTTTGTATTACTACAAAATACAAAGAGACATTGAAAAAAAAATAAAGCAATTTTTTTGTTGACCACAGCTCTCCTACCTTCCTCCCAGGATTTCCCCAGCCTCCATGATCACCAATTTCTCCAAGGCATTTACAAACAACATTACAGCATTTTCTTTCTGCAACAGTATCCTGAAAAAAAAAAAAAAACAACCAGAAAACAAAAAACAAAACAAAACAAAACCAAATAGCATAGCATTTCTGTACAATAAATTACAAAACACAGACTTTTTCCCTTTACGTCACAAAAGCACTTACAAGGTTTCTCTGCAAGATGCTTGCAATCTCTGGAAATCCAACACTCAGAGGTTCATTGTATCCAAAACCTCTGCCAAACTCTATTTCACGAAGTGTAGTCAGGTTCTGACTATTATCCAAGCCAACTAAGAGAAGGGCATCAAGACCTTCAAAATAAGTGTAAATAAAAGTTTGTGAATGCCTGAACTAAATTATTTAATCAGCAACATGATGCTGAATAATAGCAGTTCTCTAAAACTTAAATTTTACATTGCGTTAAATGAAATAGAGCCATTGAGAACAACATATGAGACAAAAATTATGACTAGTGATTTTCCAATTAAATTCCCTTCTTCAGAAGGAACTGCTTCTAAAGAATGCAACTAAAGATGAAAAACTGTGAATGCCCTGGAACATACAATTATTCTGGACGTCATGAACATGGATGGTTCACACGGGGAAGCACACACTCTCCCACTGACTTCTTCATAACTCTGAGTGCAATAAGTCATATTATTTAGAAAATTTATAGTATCAGAGAAATACATTGGGCTTCAGGGCAATAGGAGGCCAGAGCATCAAGGCAGTGCTGTAATACCTTTGAGTCGAAAGGCAGTGGCTGCTTTTCTGAGATCTTCCAGTGAATCATCCAACCCATCTGAAAATACTAACAGAACCTGTCAGTAAAGAGAGTAACACTGAATGAATCACTTGAAAAGAAATATTAAAAGCTATGTCACCGTAAAAAAAAAAAATAAATAAATAAAGTAGTTCACATTGAAAACTGCCTATAAGGTAGTTTAAGTTCCACTATGTCATACAGACCTGGAACATACATGATAGCAAGAGAGCAAGAATACAAAACCCTCTCTTACCTGAAAACATTCCTACTTGAAAGATGCGTCTTGCCTATCAGTTCTTAGCATTGCCATTAATTGTATTATATCTACCATATAGTATGCTAACCTGAAGATCAGTTCTGCTGTGTCTTATCTCCTGAAGAGCTTTGCTTGTGAAAGGTGTTCACCTGTACGTGAATATGAAAAATAACTCCGAAAAAGCAAAAATTTTCTCTTTCTGCAAGACCATCTTCAGCTGGATGCCATTTGAGCTGCATCGAGTGCATCTCCAGGTGCCCTCCAGCCTTTCCATAGATGCTTATGTCCCTTCACTCTTTCCCACATAAACACCATACCACCCAGCTTGACTCTCTCCCTAATAAGACTTAAGATGTGGTTTAACTCACATAAGGATGAAAATTCTAGCCCTTACTATTGGATATATTCTCATCTTTTCAGGCCAAAGAATTATTATCAAGCCTCTTTCAGGGCTTAGGAAAGAAGAACTTCTTACAGTTCCCCCAGAGCTACCAATCTTTTCCTATTTCTCTCCTCATCTTTCCCCTCCAAATCAAAAGAAATCTTCTCAGGCCTAACTCATCCAGTGGATTTCATTTCCCAGAAAGAGGCTGGTACACTGGTTTACACTGGTAAACCATTTCTTGCTCCCAATAGTAATGACTCCAAGTCCTCCCTCCTAAACTCTGATCAACATTTTATGTTTCCTACATTTGCTTTACTGCAGACTCTAGAGAACTACTTTGGTGAAGGGAAATTTTCCTTATTAAAAATAAAGGCAATGATCCTGAAACACTGCACTGTGTTCTTTCACTTAATTGAAACTAATCCTTTCATTTCAAAAGAGATTAAGTCAAGCCTTCAACTTCACCAATTCCTGATTCACCGATTTTTGAGCTCCCTTTTGTTTCCAAGGAATAATCAGCACCAGAGTCAGCAAATGTTAAACCATGTGTTTTTTCAAGTGTATATATTCACACCATTAAGTTACCTTCACTTTAGCAGAGGTTGCACTAAAAAACTTCTCCTGAACTGCCTGTAAGAAGTCTACGTTCAGGTAAGTATCCACCACTGTTTGTGCATCTAAGAACTTCTGTATGATCTCTTCATTATAGTCCTCAAAATCCGAGTTGAAGAGGAATTCCTTGGTCTGTGACAATACTTGGAATTTGAACCTAACGTTGACCGGAAATCCAGCACTACAGCTGATATTTGGAAGAGATTTCATCTGGAATAAAAGCCTGGGAAGGAATGTTTGCAATTTCTGTTTCAGAAGCAGTGAAGATGCAGACTGCATACGTCTTGAAATATCAACTGCTATAGCAAGGTCTATATTGCAATAATCTGTGAAGAAATTAGAAGAAACAGGAGACTATAAGCATACGCTATTTATGTTATTCATCTTTCATCATAGTACTGTGGTTTAACCCGGCAGGTAGCTAAGCAGTACACAGCCATTTGCTCACTCCTGCCCTTCCCAGTGGAATGGGGGAGAGAATCAGAAATTAAAAAAAAAAAAGTAGAACTCATGCATTGAGATAAAAACTAAGATGAAGAAAACAAAAAGCAAAAAAAAAAAAAAAAAAAAAAGGATAATAGTTATCACTATATGTATAGTACGTGCTGCACAAGCAGTTTCTAATCACACACTGACCAACGTCCAGCTAGATCCCAAGCACCAGCAGGCCATCATAATCCCCCCTTTTACAACTCGCCTTCTGCGTGATGTCAGGTAGTACAGAATATCTCTTTGGCCAGTTTTGATCAGCTATCCTAATCTAAACTTGCCCCCTCCCAGCTCTAATTTCTACTAGAAACATTGGTGTGTTATCAACATTGTTTTTCTACTAAATCCAAAACATAGCATTATACCACACACTATGAAGAAAAACTGTCCCAGCAGAAGCTAAGACACAGAATCATGGGAGTGGAACAAAATTCAACATGGTAGATTTAAAACCAGAATCAGTGAGATGGTATTTCATATTTTCAGAAAACCTAATAGTCTATCAGTTTCACTGGGGCTACATGAACTAGCAGCCACAAAGGACTGATCTTATTCACTAGATGCACATACGCATTCAAATGCAAAACAGCTCACTGTTCTCACTGTTATTCTTCTGCTGCCAAATGGCTTAGATGGCTTAAACTTATAAACATTTCCACAACCTTTGCTATCAACTGAGAATATGTAACACATATTCCAATTGCAATGTGAAGCTTGATAGCTGACTGCGATTTATCATTTTGCCACAAGATCAGATAGCACATACAAATACAGAACAGTAGATCAAAGAAACAAAAGCAATAGTGGAAGCGTATCACATGATATCCACCATGCTGTAAGGTGAGGGCTATCTCTGTTACAGAATTGATTGTAGAGCTTGTGATAACAACAGTAAATATTGCAACGTGATTAATTCCTCCACCACAACCTACCAAGCCAGCCAAAGTACTCACCTTATTTCTCCTGTACACTGATTCTCGATTTGTCATACTGGATTTCATTCTGTGGCCCTACATGCACTGTCACCTGTCATCAAACAACTGCAAGGAAGTCTGAGGCATGTAATTTTATGTGGAAAAGAGTACTTTCCTTAATTTTGCTCCCTTTTCACCCACTAGCTCTTCAGCATTTAACAAATACAAGGTTGTTTTTTATGTTTGCTTGTCTGGGCTAATTATTATGGATAAATTTGCCATATAAATTTCATTGCAGTTTTATTATTTATAGCTCTACTTGTAGGGGAAGTCAAAGGTATGTAATAAAAGAACACAATGCAGACAATAAACATACAGAGCTCACAACTGAAACGAAGAGTAAAATTTGGTTAGTCATTACAGAAACAGGGAGAGAAGCCCCAGGAAAGATGAATGTGTTTCAGCAGTTTAACCAAATAAATCCAGAAACAATTTCACCTCAGAACACAAATTGTTATGTTTCAGTTCTTGCAGTACAAATCTGCCATTTGAAGGGTATGATTAACTTCTAAGCAGTGCCAAAACCTTTCAACATGCAAGGTCATAGACAATGCACTATTACAGCCACAAAATCTGACTGACTTTTAGGTCTCAGAGTAGTGTTTCTGCTTAGTCCATAGCAAGAAAGTATTTCTCTTAAACAGTTTTACATATATATATTTAAATATATATATATACATGTATATTTTTGTATATATATATATATATATACACACACATATACACAGTTTTATATACATATTTATATATATATAATATAAAAACTGTTATATACATATTATAACAGTTTTGTATATATTATATATATATAACATATACACACATATATATATACACATATACACACACAAACACACACACATATATATATATATACACATACACACACACACACACACACATATATATATATATATACACATACACACACACACACACACACATATATATATATATATAAAAAATAAAACAGTTGCCCATTAGCCAGAGCTTGTGAGGTTGCCCATCTGATTTCAAGGTTCAGGGAACAGCAGGGTTATAAAGGTGATCAACATTTCAGGAAAGAATGATTTTTTCTAGTTGTGCATGGATTTTCCACTTAAAACCTCTCCACAGGACCTCTGTAGGACTTAATTTTTGTCAACAGTTGCTACTGACAGTTCCATTGGAACAGGATGGTCATATTTAGCTATAGACAGCATAGGTTTTTGGAAAGGCTCTTTTTCAAATATCAATGAATTGTCCTTTTTCTCTCTTGTAATTAGGATATCAGAGGCACATTTTCCCTGTCTCCTCTCAGACAACAAGGAATGATGAATGTGAATGCTAGATTTGAAGCACTATCTCACCCCAGAAACCATTTACCATTGCTAAAAGAATAATGGTTCTTGTCTGAAAAAAGGTGCAAGTCTAGAAATTTACAAAACTGAGTAACCTTCGCAGAGCTATTTGGTAAAACAGTTGCTCTGCTTCCCAGCACACTTAGGTACTTTTGCTAGGGATTGCACGTAGCCATGTGGATATTCTCCATTTCATATCCAACAACAGATTTATGCTGCTTACCCTGGTTAGCCGAGTCTTCAGGCTCACAGATCTCACTGGTAATAGTGCTCCTGATTGTTTTCAGCGCATCAAAGTTCTCCACTGTGAACACTCTCCTTGCATCACCAGCTATTCGGAGCAGCTCAAAAGAGTTTACAATCCCTACCCCAACTGCAAAGACGTGTATCCCATTGCTTCTCAAAGCCATGGCTGCATCATCCACTCTGTCAGCAGAATATCCATCTGTAATCACAACAAGGTTCTGCGAAACTCCTTGGTACTTGCGGCCTCCATTGGCAGGCTCAAAAAGTCTCTGGGCAAACTTCAGTCCTTTGCCAGTGAATGTAGAAGATTTCAGTTGCTCGATTCTGTTTATCTGTTCCTTTATAATGGTGTCACTGTAGAACTCATTAAGATAAAATTCCTTCTGGGGTTCTTGACTATATTGGACTACTCCAACATGTACTTCGTCCCTAGAAATAACAAAACTATCCACAACATCCTCCATGAAGGTCTTCATGATGGAAAAGCTGTTTTCTGATATACTTTCTGATCCATCTATCAAAAATATCAGGTCTGCCACATGATTGCTGCAAACTTAGGGAAAAAGCAAGGACAGGACATAACACAACAACAAAACAATTAGTGAGGAACAATTTTGGCATTGTTTAACTTTTTACTTATTCTCTTCAGTGTAAGCCACTAGTCAGAAAAGCTGTTCACAGAGAGGCTGTGCAAGGACAATCTACCTGTCATCTATCCAACATCAATCTTGAAATCTTCCTTGCATGGATAAAACTCATCCTTTCCTAGAATTAACTTGCAGAATAAATCATAGTTCTTTACATATCAGCTAAAAGACTGTTTGAGGACAGCAATAAGAAAAGAGAACTTGTAAACAAAGTCAGTCTAGCAGCTGAGGAAAGTCAGATTTTACCTACCAATGAAGTGAAGTCAGAATAACTGCCACAAACACTCACCCTCTTTGTAGTTGAAAGGCCACTGTGAGGAGAAAACTCTTGAACTACATGACTGCTATGGAGAAAGACAGATTCTGCCTGGAGAAAATTCTTGCCTGCCATTTTCATTTCCTTTATGGGCAGTTTCTATTCAGGGTATCAGAGGTGCAATTCACTGGATCTAATTTTTGGTAGAAAGAGCCTGATTCTGGATGTTGTGCAGTAAGAAAAAATGGTGGTCAATAAGCCAGTGCAAAATGAGTCACTGAATAAAAGTCTTTCTACAGGTATCATGTGTGCTTTAATAAATGGAATCTCCTAACACTGGGTCCTTCTCTAAGCACAAAGCATAGTTTGAGAAGGGATGTACTAGGAAGTAATGAGCTGTTGTGCACAGGGTAGATGGAATCAGCCACCACACACATTTGTGAGCAAGGGCCACACTTACACTAAGTGCAGGTTCACTGGATTTTTAGCAAAAATTGTATCTATATTTGTTATACTCCTCATATTCTTACCCCAGTTTCACACATATGATGGCATTTGAACTACCCAAGTACATTGGGTACAATATGGTGATATATTTGTTATTTGTTTTAACACATCTGAACCTCTGTATCTTTAAAATTTAATACTCTTCTTTGGGATGAGCTTTGTATAGTGGGGCAGAACTCCTAAGTCTAAAGTTCTAGCATGTGTGAATAAAAAATAGTTCCTAGGAGTTAAAAAACATCTGCCTCCATCAGTGTAAGCAACCCCTTGGAAACAACTGATGGAAGACCATTCACAGAAAGTAATTTCTGTGACTGAATCTTCACGTGCACTGTATTTTAAGCATAGAACTCTTTCCAGACTTTTCCATTCATCCTCCTATTATATCTATAGAAAATATTTAACACCGATCTTCCCCTTGGAACACTGCAGTTGTAGAAAAAGACCTAGTGGATCTGTTCAAAAGTCTTCTTTACCTGGCTTAGATTTCTCACACACTATCTGAGTCAGGTTTTCGTGTATGTTTTCTAGTGCATCATAGTTTTGTGCAAAGAATAATCTTTCCTGATCTTCAGTAATCTCTTCAAGCTCTTCTCTGCTTGCTTTGCTCACTCCAACAGCAATTAAGACGATTTTATCTTCCTTCAAAGCCCTTATGGCCATTGGAAGGTTGTCTCTATCTGATGGCACTGTTGGTTCATCAGTAATGAGAACAAGGATCCTAGTGACAGCAAGAGATGATGCACGTCCACCATAGTTCACATCAAATCTCTGCCTAGCAAAGCTCAAAGCTCTTGCTGTGAAGGGCTGGCCTGACAGAGGCTTCAAGCTGAATACTGCTTCTCTAATCTGAGACTTGGAAGCATACGAATTCAGTGAGAACTGCACCTCTGGCTTTGAGCTATAGACCAGAACACCAAACTGAACTTTGTCCTTTCCAACCACTGAGTTGTTAACTACTGCTTCTACAAGCCGAAGCATGCTTTTGAACTGCAGGTCTGTAACACCAGATGATCCATGCACTACAAATATGATATCAGCAGCTTCTGCTCTCTTGCACACTGTCAGTGGAAAAAGAAGAAAAAGAAATAAGGTTATAATTCTGTCTCTCTTTATCACTCCTCAATGTTCTTCAAAACTTTGTACAGAGATTTCTGTTCCCATGTTCCATCCGTAACCACAAAGTGCAGAGCATTTTACAGAAGAGAAGAAATACTCATTTACTTGTCTATGAGGAAAAGAATGAGATTCAAACCTGCAAAAAGAACAAGTTCTTTTGATAAAAGAACATAGGTTCTTATACCACATTTCACTCCAGTGACACTGCATCATATGGGGGGAACAGATGTAAACTCCACTATGAACATAGAAAGCAAAATCTTCCTTTATAAGGAGTTAACAGGAAAAAAGAAAGAAGGAAGAACTACCTGAAGAGAATAAACAGAGAGGGTTGTCATCACTACTTACACTTCTGTAGATTACAAATTTCAAAGAGAATCTGCTTTTCTGAGAAGTTCATTTCACTCTCAAAGAACACTTTGTCTTGGGTGCCAGTGATCTCCACAAGTTGTGAATTGTTCGCCTGGAGCAAGTCAATAGCGTATATAGTGATACCTTTGTCTCGGATGGCTCTGGCTGGGCTTTTTACTGAATCTTGGGCTTCTCCATCAGTAATCACTATCAGGTACTGTTTTAATTCAGGACGCCCTCCTCTAGGAGGATCAAAGTAAGAAGCAGCAAAGGTCAATGCTTTCCCAGTCAGTGTTCCCAATTTTATCTGCTGTATTTCTTGAATGGCTCTCCGCACATCAGCTATAGTGTTGTATCTGTCCAGCTGGAACTCTTCCCTTATTTCAGAGCTGAACTGAATCAAGCCAATTCGAACATTATCAAGCCCAACCTCTACCTTGATGACAAATGACTGCATGAAATCCTTTATCTTCTGAAACTCAGCTGGTCGAATACTGTTTGAGCTGTCCACAAGGAAAACAATATCAGCTCTCACATTTTTACAGACTAAGAAATAAAGAAAAAAAAAAAAAAAAAAAAAAGGAATAGGTTAAAATCACAGATTTCACCTGCACTTTTAACACCTTAACTGCGTCAAACCCCCCAAAAATCTGTAAATGACGGACTGAGAAGACAGACGTCCTCTGCAGGCGAGGACAGATGAGAGCGAACAGGAGATTTAATGGCTAACAAGAAGGCTGGAGAGCCTTTCTTCATCTCCCAATTTTAAGAGAAAGAATTCTGCGATTTGATATGGTTGGCTTCCTCCAAGTTAGTATGTTGTACAGCAAGATCTGTTCATCCTGGGTAAGAGTAGTCTGCACATGCCAGAAAAACACCTCGACTTGCATGTTGAATAACATGAATTTCTCTCTTCATAAAAGTCAGCATTGTGCAATGCTCAGACTGTTCACCTGTTCAGAACAGCAAGTATCCTGATATTAGACTGCAGGTAATTATCACTGGGTTCTGTGTCTGTTCTCATGAAATAGGGTCAGCACATGCCAATACGCAAATACTTAGGGTTTTACTCTAGGACACTTAATTACTTGTTGGATTTTGACTTCTGGTATTTAGCCTCATTTTACTTTGCTTGGTGACTGGTACAGTTGGTATCTTGAGATGTTATCTAGACTTGACATAGCAAAGTCTGAGATCACCCACATACAAATCTCTATTTCTGGCACGTAGCAATATCATTTTCAGAATAACCCAAATGTATGAACACAATCTAACACTAGCTGCTTGGAAGAGATTAGGCATGAGATCCTCTTACCATTTGTTGAACAGACTTCTTGCACAATTTCACGTTTAATATGTTTCAGAGAATCAAAGTCATTTACAAAAAACATTCTATTTTTTGTCTCGGCTATTTCCTCCAACTCTTGTTGAACAGCATCCTTGATGCCAATGGCATAGATAATGATTCCTTGTTGTCTCAAATCTCTTGCTGCCTGATTCACTCCATCTTCAGATTTACCATCTGTAATCACTATCAGAATCTGTGGAACATTTTCCCTATAAGCCATTTTGAACGGAGTTTTCATAGACTTTAAGGCATTTCCAGTTCTGGTACCTCCACCGATTTGATCAATATTGTCAATTGCCTCTGTTAACCTCATCATTTGGTTGTGCCGGCCAATTATGATTTCTGTCTTTGCCTCAGATGCATACTGAACCACACCAAAGCGAACATTGTTAGCTCCAAGTTGAAACACTCTGATAACCTCATTCATGAATGTTTTCATGTCCTTGAAGTCGGATGGATATATGCTTCCAGAACCATCAATCAAGAAATAAATGTCAGCTTCCTCTGTGTCCACACAACCTAATAAACAAGAAGAAAAAGATTACAGAAGTTTTGACACTTCCAGGTGTAAGAAAATCACTTTACTGTAACACAATCTCAAAAAGTAGGTAGCTAAATGCTACTAATAATTTTATTTGGAAAGTCCTTCAGTGTAAAACCTTATAAAATCTTGAGTGTTGAATAAATTGAATAAGAAATTACCAGACTTCTCTGCACCAATGAAATGCGTCAAAGCAATATAACAGAATAACAAAAGCCACTTTTGTTACTGGCACTCAGTAATAAAAAAGACAGTAAGAATGATGGGATAGAAGCCTGGAACAGCTATTAGAGTAAGAAAAATAGAAGACAGATACAGTGGGGTACAGTAATAGTGTGGCAGCCTGCAAAGACAAAAGAATGAAGAAGCGCAGCTAGAACTACAGCTAATTTGAAACAGAATAGTAAGAGAAACTTTTTTGTGACAGACTGGGTAGAATTTAGGTATGAAGATAAAAACATTACCAGGGTTTGTATTGTGACAGACTAGCTTCTTGAATTGGTAGCAACAGCAGGGCCTAGCTACTTAGCCTAGCTATTATATGGAGGTGAGAGACAACATTTTACTTCAGTGTCATAATTCAGAATCATTGAACACCTACAAGTGATTTTAAGAGTTGGAGCTCTTATATAAGCTGGATTCACATAACAGAGAATTGACTCGATCTATTTGTAGATATTGTTAAGCTGTGCAAACTATAACAGACAATTAACCTGAAGAATTCTGAGAAGAATCACTTTCACTTGAGCATGAGGAAGATTTGAAATTTGCTCAAGGGGAAGCAGCAAAAGCTTCCTGTCACATACTTCCCCAGAAGGGCAGGAATATATAGGGGAGGATTCCAAGCAGGGCAGATCTTGGCTGGAGGATATTTGGGTCCATAATCACCAGATCTTTATAAACCATCTCAAATATATTTCTGAATTTTAATTTCCCCTTGCATTAAGTGCAGATTTTGTACACATCAGATCGGCAGCATGGAAATGACAGTTTTATGAATACTTCTTACCTTTCTTCAGACCTTGTGATTGTAAGGGGACTACAAATGTTTTTGCCACAATCTCATTACAAAGTTGTTTCTTTATTTTCCATGCAATATTCGACAGTTGTAGAAAAAACTTCAGGGCGGTAACATGAGTCCTTGGGGGATACGTTGCAATTTTATCAAGTTTGCTACCCTCTGTGATATTCTTGATGCCCACAGCGTAGACTGTAACACTCTCACGTCTTAGTTTTGATGCTGGTTCAGCGTAATCATCCAAGGATTGTCCATCAGTGATAACCACAGCAATCTGCTGCACTCCTTGTTTTTTTCTGCTGCCTGCCTCTTGAGTGAAAACCTTATTCCTCAGGAATTCAATCGCTATTCCAGTATATGCTTGCCCACCTCGATATGGTAAATTCGTCAGGTAGTTCAGTATTTCCAGTTTATCCTCGAATGTGTCAAGAGTGAACTCTAGTCTTGGTTCATTACTGTATAATACTAGACCAACTCTTACATTGTTTGGAGCAATATCTAGGGCATTAACAATTTTTAACAGAAAAGCCCTGATCAGCTGGAAGTTTTTTGACCCAATTTTGCTGGATTCATCCACAAGAAACACAATATCTGCCACTGTTGCACTAGAACACACTAAAAGCAAAGTAAATAGAAGGAAGATAATATTACTGTAGGTCACACTGTGGAACTATGGTTACATATAAAATCCCCTACGGCCATTTCATAGAAACAAAATCCATGCAAATTGCCCCTTCATTCAGAACAGGCAATTTCACTGCAGCAAACCCCTCAAGGCCACTGTCCTGTTCCCCCTAGTTAATACAGATTTATAACATGCACAGGCAAACATTGCAACTGTGTGACTAAAGGTGGTGAATATATATTTTTTCAATAGAACATCTCTGTAAAGGTGAAGCTATCAGGCACTTGCACTGTTTTTCCCTCCCAGCCACCTGAGAAGTTGCTTTGGACTATCAGTGAGTTAGCTACTCAGCCTGCCAGTTTTGCTCTTTTGATACACCGTACCTGCTGGCACACTTGAATCAAGGTCATAAAGCTTCTGAAGTGAAGTTTCGATGTTACTGACAATGTTTTGTTGCACGAGGTTAATGCTCTCCACTTCATAAATCTGATCAGCCTTGCTAGAGAGTTCTCTCACCGCTTCTATCATGTCAAAGTATTCAACATCAACTGAGGTAACTTTCACCCCCATCTCCTCTAACATCCAGGCTTCCTCCATGATACTGTTTCTGGATCCAGAAGATGTGAAGATCACAACAACCTGTGGAGTGCCTTCACTGAGCCGACTTCCAGCACCGTTCATTAAAAAGGTTTTCTTCAAAAACTCCATGACACTTTCATTCTGCAATGAGCCTCCAGTGAACGCAATGCTGCGCTGAATGTGTTCAAGCAGCTCTTCTTTGTTTTCATATGTGTTCAGTAAAAACTCCACCTTTCCTATGCCATTAAACTGGGCTAGGCCAACCCTATGCTTGTTAAGCCCAACATCTAGCTGCCTGACTACTTGGGAGATGAACTGTTTTACCCTTTCAGACGTTGAAGGCTTCATGTTCTCAGCGGAATCAATAAGGAAAATAACATCAGCATATTGTTTTGCAAATGCTGCAGAGAGGAAAAAAACAATGAAAGAGCTGCTGAGACACTTGTATCCAGACTTGGTTTGGAATATAAGCTAAAGAAGAATTGCAACATTGTCATTGACGCTCACGATTTTAAGTTTGGACATGAGCTTTAAGTCTACAACATACCATTTAAACATGCTACATGGTAGCTGTAATATTATCTTTGGCAAGGTAAGCAAAGAATTCTAATGAAAACAGCCTTATTTTAAAAAGTATTAAAAACATCTTGAGAATCTTCTATATTTGACAGTATTTATACAGAAAAAGTTTCACCTTCCTCCCACCAAATATTCTACTTATGACTTTGGGGGTGAGATTGCATGCTTTATTTAACTACAGTAATATTCCACTTATAAAGGTCTTCTCCATCCCTGCTATAATCCAGGTTGCATTTAAGAACTGGACCTATCTGAACACTTCAGAATAAACTCATCTTAATAACAATCCCATGAGGACTTGCTCCTAAAGGCAGAAAGTCCTTCAAATATCAGAGGAAGCCCCAGAACATAAATGAAGTTATCCTAACTCCACTTAAAGTTAATGGAAAGAGATGCACATTCCGGAAGGGGAAGACAGATGCAAGAAAAATGAAACAAATGAAGACCTAAGTGTGTCTTTCAGTGTAACAGTTTATGATGGAAAAGGAGGTTAGAGACAGTTGCCTAAGTACCAACATCAGTGTCTAATCCCTAACTTTTTCTCAACAAGTAATAACGTTATCCTCACTGACCTCTACAAAACAGCATAATATAGTTAAAATTTACAACTAATACTTTTAATATTTGTTACTGATTTAAACTCCTTTTTCTTCATTTTGATATTAGTTTTGCTACCATTGCTTTTTTTTTTTTTTTTTTTATCCCATCCTCTTTCATGGTTCAACAAAGACAATTTTTTTTTTTTACAAAACAGAAAACTTTCTGTGAATTTTGTTGTTCAGAAAATATACTGAAAGGATTGGAAAATATGGCTTCTCTTCATTTTCCTCACTCCTAGAACGTTCACTCTGAACTGAGTTTTTAGGAGTAAAATGATTGATAAATAATTGATAAATAATCAATAAATAATTCTGTGAAGCTGTTCAATGACAAAAAATATTCTATTAATGGCTCTGTCAGTACTGATGAGGTTGAACTGAATGTATTTCATTAAATCAGCAAATCCAACCCTGATTTTCTTCGCAGTCCATTAAGGTTCTCCTTACAGAGAGTACTGTGCATAAACTTACCTTTGTTTTTAACAATTAAACCTCATTGAATTCAACATAGACACTGAAATGTGCTTAAAAGAACAGGAACATCACCCTGAAACTATGACTTAACTCAGATTTAGCCCCATTATTTTCAATGGAGCTACATTACAGCAACAGTTGTATAAAATAACATCAAAATCAAGACCATATTTCTACATTCTGTTTTCACGATTACATGGAATGGACAACTGAAATGGCACAAGAATAAGGACAATTCCTTACCTTGTATCTGGTTTTCAATTGCAGTGCAGAAGTTTTGCAAAACTCTTGTGGAGAGATCTGGAAGGTCATCGAAACTACCAATGCTATACAGGTATTTATGGAAAGGTCTGCTGGCTATTTGCTGAAGCTCAGTTGTATTCTGGATACCAATTCCAACAACGTACATGGAAATGCCTCTGTATCTCAGTTTCTTGGCAGGCTGTTCTACTTCATCCCTGGATTCTCCACTGGTGATAAGAATGGCTACCTGAGGGACATAACCCTTTGCTCCACTACCAGCAGATTCCAGGAAATACTTTGTGCTGACGAAATCCAGAGCTCTCCCTGTGTATGTTTCTCCACCTCTGTACGGCAAATTCCCAATCTGCTCCAAAACACCATTTTTCAATAAATACTGATTCAGTAAGAATACTTGGTAAGCTTTGTCACTGTATTGGACCAGTCCAACTCGGACCGCATCAAGGCCAATGTCAAAACTTAAGACAAAGGAGGAAAGGAAGTTCTTCACTTTCTGAAAGTTTTCCTGGGTAATACTTGTTGAAGTATCCACTATAAAGACAACATCTGCCGTCGTGGCATTAATGCAAGCTGCTCGAGAAAGATGACATAGAAAAACAAACTATCATCTCTTTTCTAAAATCGTTCATGAATAAGGGATAACAGAAAGTACATTTTATTCATCACGAAAAATCATAATTTTTGTATGTTTCTGCCTTGTCTCCTCTCACCTTCTCCCACTCCCATTATTTTGAATATTATAAAGGTAGATTTCTACTCAAAATTGGCAACACTTAAGAGTTAATATTATTGACAACATATGAAAGAAGAAGAAAGCTATACTTCGGCAACACACTGCAATTATATAATTTATCTACAAATAGAAAAAGCATCAAAGCTGAGGAGAAATAGCTCTTCTAGGACATATCATGGGCATACTGTGCAACCAGTCCAGTTACCTCTTCCACAAAACTTTTATAGAACATTGTGAGAGCATCACTACCAAGCAACAAAATCTTTCACTTTATAGACATGCTTATCTGATGGCTCACTCACTATTTCTTGAAGTTCAGACAGAGCAAAATCTTTAATGCCTATAGCATACAGCACAACACCTGCATCCGTGGCTGCTGTGGCTGAGTTTTGAGTATTATCTTCAGCTTGCCCATTTCTTACCAAAGCAGCAGTTTGAGGAACCTCTTTATTTATTTCTTCATTTTGCTGCCAGCACTTTTAATGAAGTGATTCTCGATCAGAAACTAAAGGATACATCCAGTTTTGGCGCCTCCTCCCATGTAATGCAATTTTTCTATTTTCTGTGAGATACCATCCTTGTTATAGCAGAGGCTGAGCAAGAATGAAGCTTAATATACCAAGTGCATGGTATATTAAGCTTCTTTTTTTCCCCTTGCTCTTCACACCGGGGGTTTGATGTCACATATTTCCATACCATTGTTAGGCAAAGAAGAGATGCTGAAATACACATCAACATGACTTCCATACACAGCTTGCACACATGAAGTCATAAGCAGAGAATGCATATGGTAATTGCTGTACTCTTTTCTGCATATAAACCACAATAACAAGAATGCACAGACTTGCTGTCAAGTGAGCTACAAGGAAAAATTACTTATACACTTTGAACTCCAGACTGCAAGCATGCATTACTAACAAGTCACACTGACTTAAAGAGGACTAAACATATCTACTTGTAGGAAATATGGAACTCATGCATTTGCATGCTTTTCAGAGCACGAATGAAGTTGGAACAATTTCTTTAAACCAAGATACACTAGGAAGATGTTCAGCAACCGAATGGTATGCTTCCTCAAGCAGTAGTCAGTTATTCTGGAAGATTTAAGATAATAATGCTAATAATAATTTTGCTAATTGCACGAATGCAAATATGTATCTGGGTTGCAAGGTTTCTAGCTAGGACACAACGCAATCTCCACCATAAAACTTCTTCCTTACTTTTGAAAATACATAACCTCAGCACGCACAATCAAAAATGAATTGTAATAAACGGTTGCACTTCATCTTACTATCTTTAGGAAAACCTGTTCCCAAAGATCTAGGTTTGCAGGAAAGACTCCACAGAGGAGGGATCTCCAGAAAGAGATCCTTCCCACGTGACAGTCAGTCCTTAAATGGGGTCTAGGAGAGGTGCAGCCAGGCTTCACCCCTTCTGGTCCCACAGCTGAATCGCCTTCACCTGTTCATGGCTGACTCAGTGCTTGCTTCAGGTGATCAATCAGTGCTTCAGGCCCCGACTCAACAGATCCCATACACTACTTAAACAAAAATTAAACTGTCACAAATTCATTGTCTCTCACCGGCACTGAATACGTGTAGGAAAAGAAAAACTATTAGTTTGAAAATGAGATATTTCTTTAATGTATTACCAGTCTGTTGTGCATCTAGAGTGCCAAAGGTGGATACAAAGAGAAGTACAAGAAGTGATTTCCAATCATCCATTTTGAAAATCTCCCTAGAAAAACAAAGTAAGAAATACAGAGCATAATTTCTCAGGAGTTTGATAGTTGTGAGTGAACTGGCTTTGTGTGCATTTTATTAACATCACAGAGGCTTTCTAGTTCTGTACAGTTTAAAGTAGCGTTTTAAATTCCAAGTTTCTTTCCTTATGCTTAACATACACATTTTGAACATAGAACTGTTAATGCCTGACTTCTGGTGGGTGTCTGTACATAAAATAGACATGGATAAGAACAAGCAATTATTTACAAGTTAAATATGCTAGTTAGTCAGTAATGAAGATACCATATGAAAGAGCCACAACTCAATGCTAGAGGAAATGGGAATGATAATCTCAACAACAAAGTACAAAATTAAGCTACATTAAGCTTGAGCACACTAAACAATCAAGAACAATACAGTTTTGAAAATCTTTCAGTTATAGAACATAAATACACTAAATAGTTTATAGAACACAAATACAATAAATAGCTTTAAGAATAAAAATAAGTGGTAAGCCAGGTCATAATCATTGTCTTTGCTTCGTTCCCTACTCCTTTTTTAATGATAGCTAGCAATTGCTTATATTTTTTGAATGCTACTGAGCTGACATGTTCATGGAAATACCCAACTTAATCCCCAGATTTTCTTTCTGGGAAGAGGTATTACATTCTGCCTGCCAACTGACGTAACTCAGATATGCTCAACACAGAGTAACTGAAAAAGACATTCCATTGGGGTTACCCTGAGAATTTCGTACTTAATACACAGCTATTGATGGAGGTGTATTGGTCTGGAAGATGCATGGCTATTGAACTTTATCTTCTACCAGCTCCGTACAGCCAAAATTTTATACAAAGCATTGTTAAGCTACCAGAAGTGTGGAAAGAGCCAAATGTTGCACTGTATCAGTTAATTGTTTGAACCTGTTGTTCATCCTGGCAGACACTCAGATCAAAACAAAGAGGTAGGTTAACCCACTTATATTCCAGGCTTGGGTTCAAAACAGAGTACAATTTCAGTAGAATCTACACTGTTACTTTTTAAATAAACAAATAAATAAAATATTATTTCAGGGCTTCTGGAATTCTGATGAGCATAATTTATCTAGAATTCAGTTTTGGAGCTGACTTGCACAGAAATTTCCCAAGCATCTGTGCCTCTGACACTGCTTAATGCCTAATATTGTGCTGGCTTGAATATGGCCTAGACTAATTAGTAGCAGAGAGGGAAATGTATGTGAAGGGATATAAAAGCAAACAGACAGCAAGAGAAAACAAGCACTTCACCCTCCCAGCTCACTGGAATTCAAAATTCAAGCCACTCTGGCAATCAGGTGAAACCCCTGGTGACTGCAAAAAAGGTAACATCATATTCATTTTTTAAAAGGGTAAAAAGGATGACCCCAGGAACTACCAACCAGTCAGTTCTACCTTTGTACCTTTGTACTGGGGAAGATCATGGAACAGATCCTTCTGGAAGTTATGCTAAGGCACATGGAAGGCAGGGATATCATATGGGAGAACCAGCGTGGCTTCAGCAAGGGCAAATCCTGCTTGACCAACATAAGTGGCCTTCTATGATGGTGTCACTGCATCAATGGACAAGGGATGAGCCACTGATGCCATCTATCTTGACTTCAGTAAGGCCTTTGACACAGTACCCCATAGCATTCTTCTCTCCAAATTGGAAAGATATGGATTTGATGGTGTTCAACAGATGAAGAACTAGTTGCAGGATCGAGTACAGAGAGTGGTGGTCAGTGGCTCAATGTCTGGATGGAGACTGGTGACGAGTGGTGTCCCCCAGGGGTTGGTGCTGGAGCCAGTACTCTTCAACATCTTCATCAATGACATTGGCATTTTGATGACACAAAGCTGTGGGGTGAGAAACCTAGACAGGCTTGAGCAGTGAACCCAGGTGAACCTCATGAGGTTCAACAAATCCAAATGCAAGAACTTGCACCTGCATTGAGGCAACTCCCCTTACCAATACAAGCTGGGGGATTAAGGGATTGAGTGCAACCATGCCAAAATGACATGGGGTACTGGTGGATGGGAAGCTGGATAAAGCCAGCAATGTCCCCTTGCAGCCTGGAAAGCCAACTGTATCCTGGGCTGCATCAAAAGAAGTGAAGCCTGCAGGGCGAGGGAAGTGATCCTGCCCCTCTGCTCTGTGCTGGTGAGACCTCACCTGGAGTACTGCATCCAGATGTGGAGTCCTCAGTACAGGAGAGACATGAACCTGTTGGAACACATCCAGAGGAGGGCCACAAAAATGATCCATTAAACGGAACACATTTCTTATGAGGACAGGCTGAGAGGGCAGCCTGGAAAAGAGAAGGCTGTGAGGTGACCTGAGAGTGGCCTTTCAGTACCTAAAGGAGAGCTACAGAAAATAAGGGGACAGCAAGGTCCTTGGTAATAGAACAAGGGGAAACGGCTTCAAGCTCAAAGAGGGTAGCTTTAGGTTACACATAAGTAAGCTACAGCGAGGAAGGTAAAGCACTGGAAACAGGTTGCCCAGTGATGTGGTGGATGTCCCGTCCCTGGAGACATTCAAGGTGAGGATGGATAAGGCCCTGGGCAACCTGATCTGCCCGGGATGTCTCTGATCATTGCAGGGGAGTTGGACTAGATGGCTTTCAGAGGTCCCTTCCAACTCTAAGGGCTCTATGATTAGACTTTTCAGTATCTCCAGAGTACGTGCTGAAGGCAGGATATATTCACATACATGCATATTCTCTTTATTTCTATCACTTTTATTTGATGAACACCTGTGCCACCAGTGGACAAAAAAGTCCCAGTGATCAGAACAGAGATTCACCTTGCCCAATCCCTTGTCTTTGTCAATAGCTCTTACATTAAAGGAAGAACATAAAAAGAAAGTTAAGAAACGTAGGAATGCTCTACCTTCCTCATGGGCTGCTTTAAAGGTTTCTAACCTCTTCTGAAACCAGCTGTAGATTCATAACAAGATCACAAGCCAAACAGATTGTTTATCACATTCTAAACATCATTCATGTTCTACCAGAAAAGCAAGCCAATTATCTGTGAAAACAAAGTTAATGACCAAATGCTGCTGTTAGCACTTTGTTATACCGAGTTTTAAATTCTATCTTGGATCTGCAAATACCACTTAGTGGAAAGGCTGCAGCTGGTCTAACATCACAGCACAGGGTTAAGTTCCAACGTCCTATAGTAATGACATTTAATATTATCCTAGGTCTTGCAAATAACAAAAAGCAATGAATAGAAATCATCCATTCAAGATCACATTCTACCCTCAAGCAACAACGAAATATCATTTCCAGGCATCACTACAGCAAGCTCTGTTCTAGCTCCTGAAGGGTTCTTTGGAATGTCTTTGGGGAGGAAAAAAAACACGTCTGCTCTATTTCAAGAAAGCTATACTTAGAGACACTACCTATTACGAATGCTGCAGTGACACAGAGATGCCAGAAGTATCTAATGTCCCTGTGCACCAGAAGGAATTCCAAGTACATTATGGTGGTTAAAAAGGAAAAGGGGCAAGAAACACTGGGTTGCTTTGTGGAAACCTTCTTCAATTCTTCTGCATTTTTCAGTTCCCCTTAAAAAGCACTTCTAACACAAGCAAAAGCTTGATATGTCATATATGAAGCCATACAAAATAAAAAGTTTTCCAACATCTTAAATGACATCTTCACATTTCAATTGTATTGAGCATTAAATTTTCTGTATATAGCCCTGATAGCTAATGAATCTCTTCAGCATTCTGATTCCTTTGATAATTACCAATTCTCACTACTATGTCTCATTACAGCCTCTTTTTAGACTTCAATCAACAAAAAGCTTACTCTGTGATACAGTTAAATATTATCTATCTATATATTATATATATAGATATATATATATATATATAAAACAACATCCAAAATAAAAATATAACTTTCATTACTGTATGATGTGTAATACCAGTGTCAGAGGAACAGTAGCGTCTTGAACAGGATGATCTTGTGAGAGTGACAGAACGCTGGAGCTGCCCAGAAAGACTGGGAGTCTCCTTCTCAAGACATACCTGGATGCCCACCTGAGTGACCTACTGTAGGGAACCTGCTAAAGCAGGATGGACTAGATGACCTCCAAAGGTCCTCCAAAGTTGTGTTTCAGAAGATATTTATCTGACATTGTATGAAATGCTGGAAATGGTGTACAGAAAGATGGTCATACAGGACAGATATATAGAAGGAAGACATCACTCCTTGGAATTTTTGAGAGAGTTAACTATTTAACATCATCTAAAGCAATATAAAAGCAGTGAGAGCATTTGCTCTCTGAAATATTTTCTTTCATAATCTTTACACAGGAAGCTTTAGCTATGTCAATATGGCAGTGCATCAATTCAGTCCAGCCAGATGCCTGATTATTAGTACAGGGAATCTTTCTAGCCAACCTGATAACTCTCCTAGATGCTCCCTGGAACACAAAGTAAAAGAAACAATGATTTCTCTTTTGGAGCAAACAGAACACAAACATCTTCTGCAAGAAAATGAGCTGTTCCAGAACCTACCAGTAATTTTCTGCCAATTTCATCATTTGGGCAGGTCAGCAACTTCAAAGACAATCTGTTGTAGGTTAGCCCCACTAGGCAGCACCAGGCAGCTGCTCCATAGTGGGATAGCACAGAGTGAGTCAAAGTTACAAGGGGAGAACTCATGGGCTGAGATAAAGATGGTCTACTCAGTGAAGCAAAAGCCACACATGCATACAAAGCGTTGCCCTGACAAATAGCATTAAACATCTCCCACTGCCACTAGAATAACTGGAGAATATTTATACTACTCTGCATCACCACGTGAAGATTTCAAAGAATAAAAGGCTCAGACAGTGTCCCGTGCATGAAGGTCTGAAGCAAAGTATTTCCTGAAGACTGAAATAAAAAAAGATTTGCAGATGTTATGTGCACAAACAATTCATGTTGAAGAAAGTCTTTCTGGCAGTAAGTCATAGAAACTTACAAAGGCTGGGGTTGGAAGGGATCTTAAAGATCATCTACTTACAACCTACCCTGCCATTAAATTCTGGTGAGTTTCACTTTCCCCTAACTATAATGGCAAAAATTTCAGATCAGAACAGTACATTTGGTAAAAACCCAAGGGAGTTAGTGTGCTTCTGGGACTGCCTATAATACTACACACAGTCACTGTTTTAGCAAGGAACTTGATTTTCTTCTGTGGAGCAACCATTTCAGTTTGGTACCACGGTCTCTGTCCTACTGTTGCACTGAAAGATACACAATAGCCAGTGGCTGTTGAGCTACGTAACTATTTCCATGCTTCCTAACAGCTGTGGGATGTATTTTCTCCCTTCATCTTCTCCCAGTCTAAGGGTTCATGATGTTCTCTGTTCATAGGGTCAGATACCCCATGCCTAAAAAACTTCTTCCACTCTACCAAAACACTGACAGCAGGAGGGAACCAACTTCCCACTTGTTCTTTATTTTCCCCTCCATTAGCCAATAGCAACATTACACTTTGGGTGGATTCTTGAAATGCAGAGACACTGCAATTTTAAAACACATACAGATTAATTTCCCTACTCACACCATTTATTTTGCTTAATTTCCATGAAACCACATGAACTTCCAGTCATACACTGCTTACAGTATTAACAGAAGCACTTTATGCCTCCTATAAGCATTCTTCAACATTTGCTAAACAAGTAAAGTAGGATTAAAGCTCAGATAGTACAGATCCTAGGTTACTCAGATACAGTGTCATGGAGCATTATCAGTTCTGCATATTAAGCTAGCAACGTTAATATGGAAATTTAATTAATATAACAGTGCCTATACGAAGTCCTTACAAGATACCTAATACACATATCAGTAATTAAATACATAAAGATATATACATAGATATAATCTATGTGAACGCTAAAACAGCAATTCCAAAGGAAAAAAAAAAAAACACTTAACTTTTAATTTTATGCGGTTCTATGAAAATAAATTGAAAAATATTAAAGTTCTTAGAAACCACTATAAAAAATACACATACTTTGCAGCACATCTCACTGTCAGTACTTTTTTTTTTTCTTGTTTGTTCCCAGAGACCCACCATTATATATACAAGAAATCTCAAATAAAGAAGAAGATCAATAGCACTCCTGAACTCTTTAAATTCTTCATAGAGATTACTTGCAATTACATTTTGGCTTTCATTTTAATGAGCTACTGTCCCAGTTTTATGTACTTTAATGTTTTATGTACTAAAGGAAAGCCATTCAGTAGATGCTTGCTGCCAGAGAGAAATCCAAAGTTAAAAGTCAATGCTTCTGAAGTGCATTATAAAAAGCATAGGTATTTTGACACAACGCCTGTTTTGCACTTATCTTTCATAACCATGAGGCATGCAGAATTTCCCTTCACACCTTGGGGTGGAAACATTATCCTGCTTCTTTGTCCATATATTAATAGAAGGAACACAATCTTTTTTGTGGCAACTTCAAATCCCATCTCTAACAGTGGCAAATGTGATCATGTAGCTTTTTCTTACCTAATGAAGTACCTCAGTTAGATTTCTTCAGCTTTTACATCCTGATTTCATTTCTTCTGAAGTCTTTTGAGAAAAAATAAAAGAAAAAATAGAAAAAGCTCACAGAACTGAGTCCTGGAGTACAGCAAACAAAATGCTCGCCTCACATGCCCTAGTTAGTTACTCTTTCCTCCCCATTCCTTTTCTCTCTCTAAGGAGAATTTAAAGCCTAGATTCCATCTGTGCAGGTTCCCAGTTTCACCAAACAGTAAAACTAGAATAAACCCATTCCGCCCCCGCACAAAACTACCATCCTCATATGTTCAGACACTGAACTTTCACCACTGAGATAGCAGTGCCAAAAAAAGGATAAATGTGGCTGTAGAAGTTATGCAAAATATTTACAGTGAGCTGACATTTGGAAAACATAGAAGTCCTTTTATCAATCATCTCCTCTCTACAGACTTTTTATTTTTCCCTTTAATTAGCACACTGTCTTTTGGTTATCACTGAAATGTCTCAGGAAGAAAGCTGCAGTTTCACCTTCTTCAGGTTTCTCAAAAGGAAGCAGACTCCTCTAACGACTGCAGGTATAATCACATGGCTAGACACTGAATCAAGCAAGGATACCCTCAGTGACTTACCTGACTTTGGAGGTCAGTGTGATCAACATAATATTGCAGATGTTCCAAAGGGTGCTTTCATTCCAAAGGACTTAAAAGCCTCAGCTGCAAAGAGCATGGCTAAAAGGATAGGAACATGCACACATACCACCACATTAGGTGTCTACACACAGTCTTCACTGAAAAACTGACTGAAATTAAAAGTAATGTTCATTTATTGTCAGAACTTTTGTCTGCCTGTCTGTCAGCTAGTGGAATGAATGTTTACCTGCTGACCTGATTCTATGAAATAGAGAGGGTCGTGATTTTCCATGTCAGTATTTGATGTACCTCCTGTAAGCTTATTGTTCATTTTTCTGTTTCAGAACAGAGCTTGATAATTAGTAAGTTATTATTAAGTTTTAAACATTCATTATCATTGATACCTATATGCCTCACGCTGTTTTCAACAGCACCAATTGTATATAATTAAAGCTATGAACCTTCATATCCTAGCAGCTCAAAGTGTTCTAACATACCATGAAAAGAAAAGCTAAATTACAGTTTGGCTCTTCAATCAAGAGGATCTTGAGCCAAGCCAAAGCATCTATCAGAAAGTCCAGCTGGTTACAATATCCCCATATCTGATGCAATCACATTCATACAGTCCTTTCTGAAATCAATGTTTTGAATGTATTAACTGCACCAATTCTCTCATGACCAGGTTGTATCTCCCTACCACCCACTGGCTCAGCATGATCTGCCTGCACTTCCCACAGTGCAATTACAGCCTCTTCTCTTCGAGGAAAAGATGAAGCAGGTAGAGAAGCAGAGCTGTTCATTATTGCTGCATGCCACATATGAGGAATTAAAAATTATGTAAGATTTATATTTTAAGAATTTTGAAATTATTCCACTGTCCTCCAGCTCCTACCCCCACTGTTTTGCTTTTGAGATACATCGTATGTATTTCACAGGTGTGGATTTGCATTCTATCAAGGGATTTGTTAAAAGGGAGTATAGGAGGTCTGAAGAACTCCTTATCATGAGGAGCACTTCTCACTTATTTTGGAAAGACCTGAGGGATCAGGGAACACATTTGTTATCGTGTTTCGTTTTTCTTCTCACCTTATCCTGGCTTTAGACCTACTTTTCATAAGATACACAGTAGCATGGCAATACCAAGAGTCAAACTTTCCTGCCAGGAATAATATAAAGGTGACTGATAAAAAAGCAGTAAAGCAGAAAACAAAACCCATTTGACAGGTATCACAAGATGGAGCAGCTAAACTCTGAGGATGACACAAATAACTTGTAATATCCTTTGAGTGGAAATCAGACAAAAGTGAACAGTATAAATGCTGAAAACATCAACTTTTTTTTTTTTTTAAACCAGCACATGCTTCGCTGACTCATTTAGTAAAGGATGTTAAGCAAACTAAGCACAAACATTTCATTCATGAAAGCAGCTTTTCAATGCCAAGAGCACTGAAGAGAACTAGCAGATGTGATTCTCCTGTTACTAGGAATAATGAGTGGGAAAGCATCTTGTACACAGAACTAAGGATTCAAATCAGTTGAAATCAAACAACAAATCTACTGTTTTAAAAATATCTTTCTTCAGAACAGCAGCAGTGCAAGTCACCTCACACTGAGCTATCACAAAGTGGGAAGTTCACTAGCTCAGTTTGCAACTAACAGTACTGAAGACTTTGAACCCCTAGTATATTATCTGCTGACTTACCTACCTTTGAAGCAGGGCTCTAGCAATCAGAACTTCCTAGTGGTGGCAAGATGAAGGTTTTCATTTTCATTCATTAAAAACTTAAAGCAAGAAAATTATGACCTTGTAATATTCACATATGTAAAACTTCTGCTATGTCGCTTGGCTAAAAGAACCTAATTATTCTTTGATTTCTAATGCTAGAAATCATGCAGTTTTACTGAACTGTTTGACTGACTGATAACATATTTGAATTTGAACACCTAGAAGATCGTGATTGTATGCAGGCAAATCAGAGCTGAACAAGTTTTGTGGCCATCATTTACAGCTGCACTGGTCATAAAAGCAAAGAAAATTAGGTAGCATGATGTATATATTGCAACATCTTGAGTGAGAAAAAAAGTAAATGCATGAAGTGTGAAAACCTGACACTTTCTCAGGTGTCTAGAGAACTTATGCAGGTAATTAAAGAAATGCTTTTTATGACAATTACCATATCATGCAATAGAACATAAGGTAACGCAGACATAAACGTTCACGAGTCGTTCTCAGAAACAGTATCACTATCTATATTAGAGGTGTTACGAAACAGGAGCAAGGAGCTTTAACATGCAGCTTCAAACTGAACCAGAATAAGAATGGTAAGATTCATTTGAAAATAATTGGGTGCACTTTAAAAAAAAAAAAAAAAAAGAAACACTCTCCACTGATATATATATACACACACACACTGTAATACAATGATTTAACTTGTTACACTGATGTGAGCTAAAAAAAATCTAATTTTAAAGTGATAAAAATAGAACATTTCAACCTTCTCCCTAAAAAATCTTGTAAATTTAAAGTAAAAGAAATAAACATAATTTCTTGAAGTATTCTTATTTCAAAGGAAATAAAGTTCTGCCTAGCTTTCCCCACTCAGGTCTATTTACACTATCTCAGTACTAGATAGATACCTCTGATGTGTGCAGGCTCATCTCTAGGAGTAATACAACAGACAACATAGTATTAGACCATTCTTTCTTAAAAATAATATGGCGAGTCAAGGAAACCAAGAAAGCTCATTGCTGTCAAAGATGTAAAAGGGATGAGCCATTTTGCCTAGAAGTGAAAATCCTTAGGAAAGAGAATACCCCATCATTTTCTTCTGGAGATACAACCTCTGTGCTTCTCTCTGCATGACCTCACACAGACTCACAGCTGTCAAAGTTAAAAAAATGAAAGAAAGAACAGACCCTGCCACACACTTTATGAGCAAAGACACGCTCTGTTCAAGTTTGTTCCATCGACATATGCTTGGCAGGCTCTGTACCATAGGATCTGACCCCAAAAGCTTGTAAACAAGGAGGAAAAGTAGAGTACGTCAAAGCCAAGAAGCTGCTGGTAGGCCTCAGGAGAAGGTCAGAGTCAGTAGAAGCCAGAGTGCAACTTACAGCAAAGATGCACACCACATTTGGATTCCCTGGAACTCCCTCTGCCTTCCTTTCAAAGCTCATCAGAGTTTTAAAACTGGCTTCCAATGGAGCAGGAAAAGGCCTTTTCAGTGCTCAGGCAAACTCAGGCCTTCTGGCCCCAGTCTGCTGCGGTACAAGACTGATTTGGGAAATGGCCTCATGTTGTGCCAGGGAAGTTGAGGATGAACATCAGGAAAAACAACTTCACAGAAAAGGTGGTTAAGCACTGCAATAGGCTCCACAGGGAGGCGGTTGAGTCACCATCCCTGGATGTGACTAAAAACCATTTGGATGTGGTGCTCAGGGACATGACTGAGCCGAGGGTTGTTAGAGGTAGGGTAGCATGGTTAGGTTGTGGTTGGACTTGATGATCTTTAAGGCCTTTTTCAACCTGAGCAACTCTATGATTCTGTGATTTCCATGACAGCAATTCCTAGATGATGCAGTACTCTGTTAATGATATGCGCTTAACTGGGGATTAGTTAAACAACACTCTTGCTATAGGCTTGCTATAAATGCAAATATATAATACAGCACTAATGTGAGTTTTGTCACGGTTGGAAATTCCCACTGGCTGTCATAAATGTAAGGGTTTGAATAGCAAATTGTAAAATTATTCTAATGACTGAACACTACATAAGGAAGCTTACTTGAAGAAACACATTATGTGGCCTGATAGGGTAATTTATGTGCTGTTCTAATCTGTTGTAGCTTCACAGTGCCTGGTTACTTAACGTTGAAAACTTAATTCAGTATCTCTCCACTATTTTGTTTATAATCCAATGACCCTGTACTAAACATTTTCTTTATAATATTTATGCTTCCATTTGACAGAGCTCTTCATTACTCTGGACCACCTAAACAGCTCACATGCAATAGATCTCCTCATTTGCATGTTTCAAATTACATTCCAGAACCTTGAACACAGTTTTCCTTGCAATGTAGTTCAGATGCAGACTCCTCTAAGGTCAAAGCCTTTGGACACACAATTGCAAGGCTGTCACAGAGTTCTGCTAACTCCAAACCATATGTCTAGATACTTTTGCTCTTGCCATGCTCAGGAAGGATTCTTCTGCATGGCTAGAGCATCCATCACACTCTAAAATGTAACATGTACACAGCATTTGCTGGACTGTGTAATACTTTTTGTAGAGGTTATTACACAGAGGCCTATACAGGATGTCTCCTAGTTGGAAGGCAATAATATGGAAGGACAGATGTAAATTACTTGCAAGAAAAGATTTTGCAATACACATTTGAACTACTAACCAAAGACTGCATCATCTTCTGCTGACAACAACTAAACATAGCAAAGTCCCAAACATTTGCCAAGGAATAAACATTTTCTTTGTGTCAGCCCCATTTTATTTCAATTGCAAAAAAAAAAAAATTCATTTTTTTCAATAGCATTTTGCCATTGGTGTAAACATAAAGTGTCATTTAATGTGTAATTTCTAGGAACGGAAAGAACCTGCAGCAGTGCCTCTCAAAGGCAGTATTTACATTTACTCTGGAGATTAAATTCCTGGAAATTTGTCACAAGATGTAAGCGATAGCTGTGAAACATTATATTTATTTTTTCCAAGGAAAGACAAAGTGTGCAATGCTAAGACTGTGAAATTATCCAGTTTGAAAAGTAGCAAATAAACACAACTCAAAGCCTACAACTTCCTGGTCCTTACAGTCCTTCTCTTGGATAACACAGGCTTTTTTTCTTTTTTTAATTTAACCAGCTATCTGTAGTATATAGTTTCAAAGATTCATTCTGCAAATAAGGCAAGTATAAGTACCTTCTTGAATCATTAATTTGTAACAGGAGGCAATTACATAATTTCAACCTTCAGTTGGGAACAATGGAGCTGCTGTAAGGGTATTCACTTCTGTTCTAAGAACTCTTCACAGTTTAGGTTAGACAATACTTACATGTAGGATAGAGAAGGACCATGGGTACAGAAGCCCTATGTGTGAGAGCAGATGAAAGCCTATTCAAAAATCTTTTATATATATATATATCTCTTCATGTTCAAAAAGAGCCTTGAGCTTTTCAAAAAATTTGAGCAAAGTTGTGTCTACTTAAAATGATCAGATGAGGTTACTTCAGTTGACTGTGGAGAGAAAAGTTATTAACTAGCATTTGTTATAGAATAATGCTCATAAAGAAGCATTTTCTCTTCACAGCACTTATTTAATTCAAGAAAGCTCGCAGAGCTTATGCAGAATTGTCCAGCAAGAAATTTACATTTGTGTATCATTTCCGTCTATGCCAGATTTGAATCTTTCCTGTACAGTGCTTCCAAGTGTTTTTCTTTAAAACTGTCACACCTACCACAGCAACACATCAATTTCCAGTAGGATTATCTGTAGGAAGTGATATCCTTTTTATTGAAGGAAGGCTGGCAGACGAACAACAAACTGTGTTAACACAATCAGAACTGCAGCTAGATCACACAATGGGGTCTCATATCTCCAAAGAGGTTGATTTGGCTAGAATTAATGTTACATACAATGTACTGGTTATAAACACGTATGTGTTTGCATTGTAGGGAATAAGGGGGAGGAAGGGATTTGCATTCTGCGGTATTTAATAATCAACAATGATGGTGTTTTCTCTGCATGTCTTTTTGCTTTTAGTCATTAGTGTCAGTAACAAAACTACCCAACATGAGCACATTTTTAATCCAATAGTTTTAATTACAAATTCATGGCAGTATAGAAAGTACCTGGAGGTGATCACATCTGTAGCCAGTTTCAAATGCCTATCTAGGAAGCATTAAATAGATTAATCTCTCTGTGCTCTCTCCTTCTCTCATTTACTCTCACCAACGTCTTTAAAGCACCAATTGGATAAAAGCTTGGGTGATAAACTTGCCAAGTACCTCTCCTACCATTGTTAGTTATTGCATTAGCAACATTCATAATTTTAGTATCTTCTGAAGTTTTGGGTTTCGATACAGTCCTTCAGAAATATCTTAATTCAGTTGTGACATCAATTGGTGACAGAATTTCTTGTCAATAAATTTTAAGTTCCCCATTTCTGAACTTAACAGAATGTGCTGCTATATCACTGCTACAGGGCAGTAATTTCCATTATCACTACTTACCTTCCTCAGACAGCTTAGTTTCTAGAT